AGGCTGGGTTTCCTAAGGGGGGTTCCCCAGATGTTCTTGGACGGCAACTCCCGGATGCCTTCCCCCCCTCGCTGGGCCGGCCAAGACCTTCCGGGAGTTGACCTCCAAGAACATCTGGGGAGCAAAGCATTTTGGAAGCGTGGCTCTAGGGTGTTCTTGGATCTCCCCTTTGGAGAACTGAGGACCTTGCATGGTCTACTAAACAAAAGTCCAGGGTGCAAGATCTGAATCAGTGCCACAATGAAAATGCACCAGTAAAAGTCACTTCACTTCACTTCTGTTATCTCTGGGGTTGGATTGCCCAGTTTTCTGTTTATGGCTAACTTTCGTTTCCATCCGGTGTGGGTTCTGGGGTGTGTGCGCGATGCTTCTTATTATTTTCCATTTCTCCAAGAGCTCTGTATGGCTTTCCTTTCACATATATATCCTACAACGACGTTGTGCGTGTTTGGCCGGGGGATTGCGCCGCCTGTGCGCCGCAGCCTAGTGAGGCTCATCCCTTCGAGGGGAAGAGCAGGCAGGGCCTTCTGTGCCCGAGCCCCTTCCTTGCTAGGATCCGGCCATGTTTTCCCCATGTCTGGAGCGTCTGCTTTCAGGGGGAAACTTTAGAACGGCGGGATTCCCCCCTTTAAGAGTTGGGGCGCCATCCTCAGGAATGCGGTTTGGCCGGGATTCTGAATTCCCGGCGGCAGCAGGAGCACCGGAGAATCCAGAGTCGCTCCCCAGACTCCAAACAGGAATCCCACGGCCGGATCCTGCACGGTGGGTTTGGTGCTGTTGCTGTTGGTTGTTGCACCACTTCCAGTTTATGGTGACCTCCTGGGTTTTTTTTAATTGAGGTCTGTGAGATGTTGAAAGGTGGTTTAACCCTAACCCACCCCTCCACAGCAGAGTGGAGATGTTTGAGGGCGGCTGCGGGGTTGAAAAAGGTCGTGCAGCGTGCACCATTCTGGCCTTGGGCCCCGGTCATTGCTTGTGGCCCCATAGAATTTGCTGCCCGAGGCACACGGCTCATCTTCCCTTCTACCCTGTTTGGCCTTGGTGGGGTTTTCTGGAGGCTGTATCTTTCATGCTCCCTTCTTCCTGTCGTCCTCAAGGAGCTGTTCCTCCTCGCATGGTTTGAGGACCACGTTCCAGCCTCCTGCCACTTTTTCGGGGTGTATGTGTGCTGTTGCTGAAGTACAGAAAGGCAGAGGTGGCCATTTTTTTTTTGGCATCTTCTGCTAGTCGTGCCCTCTGTCTCAAATTCTGTTGTAAGGCAAGGCTTGGCAGGGCTGACTCTCTCTCTCTCTCTCTCTCTTTCTCTCTATCTGCTTGAGACCCAAGATCTACCCGGCTGAGCCGAGTGCGAAAGATGTGCCGCAAGCGCGAAAGAATCCTGCATCCAGAATCTCTTTGAGGTCCCAGACCAATCTTTTTTCTGCACAAAAGCCCCCTCCTGATAACATCTGCCTCCTTCTTTATTTATTTTAGCTGGGTCGTTTGATGTCACGGGCATTTCTACCCTCCTTAGAGCATCAGAGCCCTCCCTTGGCCTGTTGGAAAGCATCCGGGAGCTCCGTGGGTCAATCCAGCTCAGCCTGCAGCGAGGGTGGGGTGCTTGTAGGTCCCCAGTGCCCCCGCATCCATCCTCTTGAAATTTGTCGCTTTACACCACCGCTGCCACCCCTCCCCCTCCTGTGGCCTGGACCCCTCCGGACGAGGCGGTCCTCAGCCGAAAGTGGAAAAGGATGAGGAGGTGGGAAAGGAATGCTGCAGTGCAGTCCTTTGGAGTCAGCACAGCAGCTGCCGGAGAGAGAGAGAGCGAGACGCACGGCCAGGCGGGTTGGCTGCTGTTTGCGGCAGAGCCTTGCGTGCGTGCGTGTGTGTGTGCGTGCGTGCATGGCGCTGCCCTCTCCCTGCTGCCCCCCCTTCCTCTCCATCCTCAGCCCCACTGGGGTGCTTTATTCCCAGCAGCTGCTTCCCTTCCGTTTGTTTCCAAAGCGGCAGAAGCCACAGTGATAATGGCATCCTGAAAGCCTCCAGTTGCACAGCGTCCATGGAGGGCGGGACTGGATCGGGGCGCTTGTGCCCTGGACGAGCAGATCTCAACGTCCTTGCTCTGGGGGAGCCTGGGAGGGGTCGGGGAGGGCATCTAGCCTGACCCCTTCCTTCTAAGTTGTTTGTGTTTAGAACTGGGGTTCCCAACCTCAGGTCACCAGGTGTGGGTGGACTCCAACTCCCAGAAGGCCTGGCCAGCATGGCTAGTGCTGTGGGGGATTCTGGAAGTTGTAGTCCAAGCGCCTCTGAGAACCCAGGGTTGGAAACTCGTGGCTTCTAGTGTACGGCCACTGACTTGTGCAGCCCAAGGAAGCCGCTAGGCTTTGCTGCCTTTGGGCGGTGGGACAAAGGTGTCTTGCTGGGAGGACGGGAGAGTCTGGAAGAGAGGATAGAGGGAGAGCAGGTGGAACGAAAGGACTTAAGGACTGTAGTGAAAACGCCCCCTGCTTCCTCAAGAGTAAAGGGCTGCCCTCTGAGTGTCTGCAACTGAGTTTTGGATGGAGCCCACGGCGTGGCTACCTGGACCGTGTCTGTGCATCAGCCACTCTCGTGGGCCTTCCCCCCCCCGGGGCCTCTCGTTCTTCCTGGCGCTAGACTACTGCTTCCCTCTGCTTCTGGACCATCCCTTGCCGGGATGTGCCTCCTATCTATTTTCAGGAGCAAAGTGCCGTTTCCCACTTGGTCAGGACTGAGGTGGGAAAAGAGAGAGCGCTGAAGGAGGAAGAGTGGCTGTCTAGCAGGCGGAAGGCTGCGAGTTCGATTCCTGGTGCCTCCAGGCAGGGCGATGGAGCGATCCTGCTGGAAGCAATTGCAGACCTGCAGGATGTGGTCCGAGTGGGTCATCGAACTTGATTCCCGAGCCAGGATTGATCCTTCTTCCTTGGACTCTGTAGCTTGGTTTCCTTGGGATCCCTCCGTTGGCTTCGTCCCCTGAGAAGTTGAGGTTTTGGAAACACGGGTTTAAAGAAAAGAGTCCGGGGAACGACAGGAAGGGCCCCTCGGTGGGCTTCACGTTCCGCTTGCGGGCTTCTGGGCTTCACCCGGCAGGTCCTGGCCGGGATCTGTTGGGGGGGCTGATCCTGCCACAGGACCGTGCACCCCTCCTTTCTGCTTTTCCTTTTTTAAAATTAAAAACAATAATAACGCTAACATAACACGTGTGTACATACCTATTGTATGTACCCATCTTCAACACATGATTTAAACCACATAATCTGATCCATGACAAATACTACTGAAATCCCCCCCCCCGTTGCCACCATCACCCCCTTGAGATCAGGAAAGGCAGGCAGCTCAAACGGGGCTCCTCTTTGCTCCCCGTCCCTGCTGGGGCTAAAAACACAACAACAACAACAACAACAACAACAACAACAACAACAACAACAACAACAACAACAACAACAACAACAACAACAACAACAACACCCTCCACAGCCTGCGTGGAAGGGAAAAGTGGAGGGGGTGCCCGGGGGGCGCCACTGAGGGCCAGCTGAGCATTGGCGCGCTCACCTCTCCTGCCGTCAGCTGCCCGTCAGCGGAAGGCCAAATGGGATTTCTTTCGGATTACAGGCCGTCACCCGGAGAGACTCGGACCTGGTTTCTAAATGGGGCAGCGTGGGGCCCATCTTTGGCATCCGTCGGCTTAGGGGCCTCGGGCGGAGAAGGGGCCTGGGTGGGCAATCCAGCCCCTGGCATCAGGAGGGGCCGGGGAGAGAGAGGGTGGCACCTTGATGTGGACGCCGAGCGTGTGATGCTCCCATTTCTGATCTTGTGGCTTGGTCTTCCTTTCTCTCTCGCCCTGCCTCGTTCTTCTCCCCCTTGTTAGTCTGCAAGGAGCAATAAGTTCTCTCAGGAATACAGATATTTGTTTTAAATCTTGGCTTTAGATCTTAATATAGCTTGGTTTTTTTCCTGTGATATTTGTATAGTGTTTTAAAACTGTGTTTGTTTTATAGTTTTATCCGTTGTGAGCCACCTTGGGTCCCTTATGGGGAGAAAGGTGGCTTACAAATAATATAAATTAATAAATAAGTCTTTCCCTCTTGGGGTCCCAAGTTTTCGCCTTTGGGCGAAGATTTTGACATGCTTGGCTCATCCTCTCCTTTATGCTGTTATTATCCTCAAAAATCATGACTTCAGAATCTCTGCACCCTCAGATGCTACCAGACTCTAGTTTCCATCAGCCTTAGCCCGAATTGGCGAGAGATGATGGGTTTTGTAGTTCACCCACATATGGGAGGCCAGCCCTGCTCCAAGCTATTTGTGAAGTGAGACCCATTCAGCTGCATCCAGTGGGGGCATGGTGCATTATTCCACATCGTTAAACTATATTGAAGTGCTCAGAAAAGTTGAGTGCTTTACCACACAAGCATGACTGCAAATCCCCAGCCTTAGAAAACTAGTATGTCTGGAGGGTGAGGGACACCAGGCAGGAATAAGTTTTCCCCTGACATGCTTGCTTTCTCCTTGCAGGGATTTTTGGTTTCTCCTGACATGCTTGCTTTCTCCTTGCAGGGATTTTTAGGTTACGTGGACCATCATCTGTAGACTGCTTAGGGTACAATCTAGACCAGATATAAAGCTTGGTCGCCAGGCAAATCTTCTTTTTTGACTGTAGGTCCCATCAGCCCTAGCCAATGGTGGTAGATGATGGGAGTTGTAGTAGAACAAAATCTAGGAGGCTGCTGTTTCCACAGCTTCCTCACTCCCTGGTTTGGAGACTAGGTTGTCTTAGTGAGAACTAGCCCCTTGAAGGAATGGGAGCCGGAGGAAGAGAGGGCAAATCACAGCCATGGGGCTTTGGAGAAAGTGTGGAATTCATAATGCCCCCCCTTTTTTTCTTTTTAGAAATCATGGCTGATGTGATCAAGAAGGTGAAGAAGAAGGGAGAGTGGAAGGTAAGAAGTTTATTTTTAAAGACGTGTATTACTGTTGGGAAATAGTCATTATTTTGGCCATTTCGGATCGGCGCTCGGCCATTTCAGCCGACTTGAGCAGAGGAGGATGAGTTCCACGGGGGCGTCTTGGTATAGCCACGGGGTCCACGTTCTGTCGCCTTGCTTCATGGGGGCTCAAGGGGGCGACGTAAGACATGGCTTGCTGAGAAACCGCTTCAGCTCAAATAAAACATACTCCCAAGTTTCTAGTCCTCAGGGTATCATAAAATTGCTTTGGAAAAGTGCATGGAGTGTATAGAATATGGCACCAAGAGAGAGCACACGGCTACCTTTAATGCAAACAAAATAAAAACACCCAGGTTTCTAGTCCTTAAAGGTTTGGGAAGAATGGTTCAAGAGATGGCCGGTGCCAGATGGCCTTATCCAAGGCCTTCTCAGAAAGATTTGGGAAAAACCTGGCATTCTGTCTGTGGCATCTGGGACTCCAGATGTTCTTAGACGACCACTCCCAGATGTCTCTCCTGGCCAGCACAGCCAGCGGTGAAGGCTTCTGGGAGCTGTAGTCCTAGAACACCTGGGAGCCCGAGGTTGGGAACCCCCAGTCTGTGGTTTCGTCTCCTTGGGGGGGGGGAATCCTTCAAGATGGCTCAGGGGGACGAGGTGGGTGTGTTTGCGGGAAAGGTTCCCCTTGACCTTGAAGGGAGCTGTCGCCTCGGTGGGTGGGAAGGAGGAGGAGCATCATCTTCATCATATTTAGAGTGAGCCTGCAATGGGGCGATGATTCTGGCAGCACTCTCCCCTTCTGCTCTCTCTCTCTCTCTCTCTTCCCCCTCCCCCCTTCCAGGTCTTGGTGGTGGACCAGCTGAGCATGCGCATGCTCTCCTCCTGCTGCAAGATGACCGACATCATGACCGAGGGCATAACAAGTGGGTAGCCGTCCCTTCCGTTCGGTTGTCCTTTTACTGCCTTACGTCTGATCGGAAATGACTGGGACCCATGGCCGGAGAGCATGGAGAGGCTGTGGACTACAACCCCCATAAACCTCCAAACAATCTAGATGGAGATGATGGGAGTTGTTGTCTCTCCCCTCCCTCCCTCCCTCCCCCAAGTCGCCGTCTAGATCCCTGCCGACCGCATTGTTTGGCCCATTGTGTAGCTCTGTTTCCCCCAGGAAAACCCATGGGGGGTGTCTCATGAGGAGGACAGTAATGAAGAAGAGTGAATTCCGCACCTAGCCACCGTGGGCCCTTTTTGGGAGAAAGAGGGGTGTGTTTAAAAATATTTTAAATAAATTAAGTCATAAATAGAGTGGCGGAAGAGTAGACCCTTGGATGGATCTCTTGAGGGGCGAGGAAGCTCAAGACGGGGGGGGGAGGCGTCGCGTTTATAGCCCGGTTGAAAAACGTCTTGTGTGTTTTGCCCTCGTCCCTGTGTGTTGGTGTGTGCTGCTTTTTCCAGTTGTGGAAGACATTAACAAGCGCCGAGAGCCGTTGCCGAGCCTGGAAGCCGTGTACCTCATCACCCCCTCGGAGAAGGTAGGTCTCTTCCCCCGACGGTTGGATCTTGGGCGTGTGCCGGCCGTGCGGCTCTTCCTCTTCCCTAGAACCCCATCTTGAGCTGCTCTTGACGCACGGCGGGTGGGCCGAAAAAGCTGCCGTTCGTCAGGGATCTGACGGAGCTGCCAGAACACCGAGAGCCCCTCCTTTCTTTTAATCTCTTCCCAAGTTAGACAACGTGGCGTTTCTGCTCCCCCATCTTGGGCCACCCCGGTGTTCTTGGACTGCAACTCCCAGCGATCCTGGCCAGCCCAGCTGGTGGTGAAGGCTACCGGGAGTTGCAGTCAAAGAATATCGAGAGAACCGAGGTTGGGAACCATGGTAAATCTTCACGATTGCGAGGCCCGTGAATTATTGTGGTCCGTGGCCAGAGATGGCGGATAATTGTATCCTAAAAAGGCTGTGGGTTTCTGGGTGCTTTACATGTGATCTACTCTGAGAGTTCTTTTGTTGTGATCCACATGGTGCTTAGTACCTTCCAAACAGCAGGATGGGGTTCTGAAAGTTGGGGATGTGGGAGAAACCCATTCATAATTCCCAGACGTCTAAGTGAGCCGAACTGCCGTTCGTCAGGGATCTGACGGAGCTGCCAGAACACCGAGAGCCCCTCCTTTCTTTTAATCTCTTCCCAAGTTAGACAACGTGGCGTCTTCTAGACCCCATCTTGGTGTTCAATGGACTGCAACTCCCAGCGATCCTGGCCAGCCCAGCTGATGGTGAAGGCTTCCGGGAGTTGCAGTCCAAGAATATCGAGAGAACCGAGGTTGGGACCCATGGTAAATCTTCACGATCGTGAGGCCCGTGAATTATTGTGGTCCGTGGCCAGAGATGGCGGATAATTGTATCCTAAAAAAGCTTCGGGTTTCTGGGTGCTTTATGTGTGATCTGCTCTGAGGGTTCTCCTTCTTTTGCGGTGATCCACATGGTGCTTAGTACCTTCCAAACAGCAGGATGGGGTTTCGAAAGTTGGGGGTGTGGGGGAAACCCATTCATAATTCCCAGACCTCTAAGTGAGCCGAAGCCGCTATATTTATCAGTTCCCGCTTCCCTTGATCGTTAAGCGAGGCACCACTGTATATTTATCAGTTCCCACTTGCCTTGATTTGACAGTACAGTGTGCGACAGCCAAGGTTTATATTGACTTTGTAACTTGGGGCCCTTTGCCACTTGTGATTTTTGGACCCCACTGGATCTAGAATCGTCATCATCATCATCCCCTTAGAACATCAGAGCTGGAAAAGGGACCCTCGGGATCATCCAGTCCAGCCCCTTATCAAGGAGGCCCGGTGGGGGAATCGAACTCCCAACCTCTGGCTCCACGGCCAGAGCCTTCGACCTATCCAGCCGTTTTTGCAAAGATAAAAATATGTTTTTAAGGGACACCTGGGTTTTGCGAATGAATAGTATTCTGTCTACCGTGTGCCCAACTGCTTGATCTTCAGAAATGCCCAGGTTTGGAAAGATGTCTGCAGACAGGGATGGGTGTAAGAGGCATGTGCTGTGCCACGAGGGGAGCCAGGCATGAGAAGGGAGAAGGTCGAAACCAATGGGGCTTGGGGAAATTTCTTGGTCCCCTCCGATGCGGTTTTTGATCCGAACTTTGGAGAATCTAAAGAGCATCCTTCAAGGCAAATAACAATTGTTGGGAAGGCTCTTTCAGTGGGTGCACAGCTAACAAATACTGAAACGAGATTCCCCTCCTTCATTTCCGCAGTCTGTCGAGTCGCTCATCAACGATTTCAAGGAACCGCCGAATGCCAAGTATCGAGCGGCCCACGTCTTCTTCACGGACTGTAAGCATGCTGAAGACGAGGCCCCCACCTTCTCCAGAGAGTTCCCCTACTTGAGACCCACGGGGGGTTTGGATCTGCATGCTCAGACAAGAAGGGTGGGACGCTGTGTTCCTCAAGTCATGTTGTACTCAAATTCCCATCAGCCCCAGCCAGAGATGCAGGGGTAAATTTGGAAAGGCCAATGCTTGCTGTGACAGCCCGCTTAGCTCACCCCTTCTCCATAGGGATTGTCGAAAAGAAGTAAGGTACTGGATTGGTCTCTGTCAACAGCATGAAAAGTGGGTCTTTTGTATGGTTAATGGCTCTCAATGACTTCAGACCAAATTATCCTGAAATAACTTTCATAGCAACAGAGTCAGCTTTAAGCTGTCTCTGGCAAAATGATTCCCTTCCCCCAGCTACATGGAGGACGGCAACTCAGCTCAGAAGGCCATAATCCCCACCACTAAGGAGGTCCTGGGGCTTAAGCCCTTTTGGATCCGGTACCACTACAGCCCTGCGTGTCTTCCTTGTTCTGATGCATTCGTGTTGGAGACCCCCCTCAACCGACATGTCTGGCATTGGACCCAGTGGAGCTTTCCCCCCTTGTTCCTAGCTTGCCCCGATTCCTTGTTCAACGAGCTGGTCAAATCCCGCGCGGCGAAAGTCATCAAGACCCTGACGGAGATCAACATTGCTTTCCTGCCGTACGAGTCACAGGTGAGTCCCAAGGGCGGGTGGTTGGCGGGCTCCCCGTTGGCCTTCCTTTCGCCCAAGGAGAGTACGGAAACGTCCCCCCACCCCACCCCGAAGCTCTTTCTAGCAGGTGTTCTTCCCGCCCGAGGGAGGTCTTTTGTAAAGCTAATGGCTCTTAATGGCCCACTGGAAACCAGGGCAGTCCCCTAATGGTCCAAGACCAAGGCTGGGGGGGGGGAATGGGGGAAAAGATATTCTCAAACAAGGGAATGCAGAACCTCTACTGGTCTCTGATTTCTCCTCTCTACCAAAGAGGCCAGAGTGCCTGCCGGTTTCCCTCTTCTTGTCCTCACTGTAGCCCTGTGAGGTAGACCAGCCTGAAAGAGGAGGCCTACAGTCTCCTGGCTTGCTTGCGATGGAATAAACGGGTTGCAACCCGGGCCTCGTCTCCCCAAGCACGGACCACTACATCTCTCTCTCTCTCTCTCTCTCTCTCTCTCTCTCTCTCTCTCACACACACACACACACACACACCCCGTGCTTTTCTCTCCTCCCTACGGAAAGCCTGAAAGGATGCAAGAAAAGTGGGAATCTTATGGGGCGGTGGGGTGGGGGGGCGCAGCATGTGGTGTCTGCTTGAAGTCATTTGCAGAGGAAAAAGATAGGATTGTGCGCTTATGTAAGGGGTTTGCCGGGGAGGGAGATTAACAACCGTCTCTTGCCTGGGGGGCAGGAAGTTGGTGTTTCTTTCCCCGGCTCACGATGGATTGGTTTCTTGTTTCTGACCTTCCGTTGTGGGTTTATCGCAGGTGTGTTTGCACACCCGCAGGCAGGCGTGCCCGCTGGCAGGCAGGCTGACACACACAGAGTTCTCTCTCCTCCAAGGGTTGGCGGCTTCTTTGGCCCATCTTTGCCGGCCATCTGCTGTCCCTCCGGCCCCTCCTGCGCGCGTCTGGGGCGAAGGGTGGAAGGGGAGGCGGGTCTGGAAACAGATGGCGGGGCTGGCGTTGTGTGCCGTAAACCAAACGAGTTCCTTTCCTGGGGACACAAAAGCGCCCTTGAAATAGAACGGATTGTCCTCTTTTCAGCGTTTCTGCCTTGTCACGGAGCTGCTGTTGAGAGACGGGCGGAAATTAAGCAGGTGAAGCGCTTGCCATGCTTCCTGTTACTGAGTTCATGAAGCCTTACCTAGATTTCCTTTTTAAATTGGAAAGGGAATGAATTGCGAAGATTTGGATGTATATTTATATGCTGTGCCCTGTTTTTCATGTATTGGAAGCTGGCATTCCGCTGTCAGACCCTTGTCCCATCTCACTGAGTCTGAAAACTGGCAGCAAAATCTTGCCTTTCCTAGCCGTCGTCGCTGGCTTCCTCTTGGTCGATTCCTTCCCTAGCCCTCGCTGGCCTTCTCCTGGTGGGTCTTCCATCCAAATCCCAACCAAGGCCTTGCTGAGCTTCTAATATCAGACGTGTTCAGGATTCCATAATGGTCTAAGAATACACCCATCTATAGAGGGAAGAAAATCCTCTACAATTGACTCATTAAATCAGTGACACCGATGATTAGGTGGACTTAGCCATCCCATTAAATGCATCTACTCTAGTTGGGTCTAAAAATCGAGTTCAACCCAAAATGATTGCATATAGTTTCTCCAAATGTCCTTCTGAACCTGGCAAAGTCTTTTTGGGGCTTTTAAGTCGTCTTGTTCATTGGTTTTAAAATTTTTTCCCCTACCTGCTTCTGTCTTGTTCCTTTTTTGTTGCGGTGTTTTTAAATGTTCTTGTTGATTTTTTTGTTTGTTCGGTTTTTTAAAAACCCCTTTTCAGTTGTAGTGTTTCGGAATCAACTCCCGAGGATTGGCTAGAGAGGAAAGGTAGAATTAAAAACCGATCGGCCCAGAGAATTATTTCAAAGAATTGCAAGATTTGTATTCACGATGAAGCCGGATTCCTGTGGGCCAGCGGGCCCTACAATGTGCGGGCCGAACATAGGCAAGGAAGTGGGTTCTTCCTGCCCTACCTCGCAAGACTGTTGTGCAGATAAAGTAGGGAGGCAGGAATAGAACCCTCGGAAGTTCATTGCAAGATAGGTGGGAAATAAATCTAGTGGGCGCATAAACATGAAACGCTGCCGGTTTGGCCTTTTCTAGTTGAAACTCCTTCAGCTTCAGAATGTTGATTCCTTGGTCACCCTCCGCTTTTTTTTTTAAATCGTCCCTCTTAGGTTTATTCCCTCGACTCGGCCGAATCTTTCCAAAGCTTCTACAGCCCTCACAAGGCTCAGATGAAGAACCCGATCCTGGAGCGCCTGGCGGAGCAGATCGCCACCCTCTGCGCCACACTGAAGGAATACCCGGCGGTTCGGTATAGAGGGTGAGCTGGCTCTTGGGGGGCTCAGGAATCCCTCCCCCGTCCGGATGGCCGTTCCAGAAGGCTCTCGCCTCTGTAGATCCTTTGTAGATCGGGTGGTGCGTCTGCACTGTGCTTTGTCCCCGTTGGAGACCCCTTGAGGACGGTCGGGGCTCCCTCCGACGGAATGCGTGCAGGCGTGCTTTGGCGAAAGGCCGCCCTGTCTCCACGGTTCGCTCGGGGGCATCTAAGTGGGGACGGCTCTTCTCCAGCCCGGTTCCTCGCCCGGATCCTTCAGTCGTGACGCTCCGGGGGCCGTTTTGAGCGGTTGCCACTTTGTGGAGCCGATGCACCGTGAGCCTCGCAAGGAGGAGGCGCCGCGGCAGTTGGCAAGCCTGTTGACCGGTCCTGTTTTCCACCCCCTGCGCAGGGACTACAAAGACAACGCCATGCTGGCTCAGCTGATCCAGGACAAGCTGGATGCTTACAAGGCCGACGACCCAACCATGGGGGAGGTGAGTGGCGCGAGCCCTGAAACGGGGGGGGGCAGCTCCCAGAGGTCCGGGGCGGCCAGGCATCAGGCAATAAACAAGGGCCGGTCCCAGGGCTTGAGGGGCTTCACGTAAGCTCCCCCCCCCCGAAAGGCAGTTCAGTCTTTTATGTATCTCATGAAGAGTTACGTGCCATCAAATCCATGTTGACTTAAGGTGACTTTCCCTGGGTTTTCGGAAGGGGTCTCCCGGTCACTGCTTCCGGGGGTGGTCCTGGACTGCCGTACCGCTTGCCAAAGGCCACCCAGGTGGCTGGGCATCCGCCGCACACCTTCCGGGGGATTTGAACTGGCTTCCTTCCCACGAGGGGATTAGCGGGGATTCGAAGGCCCGCCTCTTGTCCGCTGGAGCCCGGGGGCTCCCACCCCCCCCGAGTTACCTGCTCAGCTGTCTTTCTCCACCTACAAAGTCCTCCACGTCGCCCTGAAAGCTCTGGCTGTCTGCCAGACACTGCCGGAGGAACTGGGGGGAGACCCCTCATCCCTGCGGGAGCCGTGAAATCCTGAGCCTTGGCCGAGACCATCCTGGGTAGCCCCAAAAGCCAGAATATTGGCTCATGTGGTGGACAGTATGCTCCCCATCTCTCTCTCTCTCTTGCACCCGGGCACTCATTTCCTTGTTCGTTCAGCCCTTTAGCTGCTCCTCCCAAATTTGCAGTGGGAACTGTAGCAGCAAAATTGGCCTAAAGCTCTCTTAAGCCGCACTCAGGGGTGTGTGTTTCTTCCTCCCCGCTTTTAATTGGGAGTTTTGTTCTCCCTTGCGTGCCCCTGTCCTCTCCTCGGCAATGGGAGGAAGCCGCACGGGGGGTGGGGGGGCTGGATTTTAGCAGCATAATGGCCGGGTTGGAAGGGGTCCTATTGGTCTCTGCTCTCGTTTCCCCCTTGAAAGGATTTGCGGGGGTCACACCTTTGCTTCCTAAACCGACGCACCAGCAGCGTTCCCTTCAAGCGGCCCATGCACTGCTGGATCGGGGCCGCACAGCTGAGCCAGTGCGGCCACCTGTTTGCTTCTGGTGGCGGCTGGAGGTCTGCGGGCACAGAGCGGGCGCCTTCCCTGCCGGCGCGCGGGACAATGAAATTGTGTACGACGTTTTCGGTCGCTTCACCTGAGGAGAGGCGGGACCAGAATTCCCTGGCGGCTCCTTCTCCTCCGCTCCTCCTCACCTGCCTCTGCTCTTGTTACCCCCGACTTCGTGGGGGCTGCCGTTTCTCGAACTTCTGCCTGCCTGTTGCCCCTTGGTCCCTGCTGTGGGCGCTGTCACTGTTCTGACCTGCCCGTTGGCGCTGCCCTGGTGTGCCCTTTGCTTGTTGCCGCCTGTCTTGACTTCTTCCCACCTCCCTCCCTGGCTCCTGCCCTTCTCCGTGCTTGTTGGCCTGCCCTGCCGCCTGATAATCTTAGAACGGCAAAGCTGTAAGGGTGTTGGTCTTTTTCTCTCTCGCCTCACCAGGGTCCGGACAAAGCTCGCTCCCAGCTCATTATCCTGGACCGGGGCTTTGATCCGACCTCTCCCGTGTTACACGAACTGACTTTCCAAGCCATGAGCTACGATCTGCTCCCCATTGAGAATGACGTCTACAAGTGAGCACCTTTCTCGTTCCCTTAAATGTCTGTTCTGTCCCAAACCAAAGAGAGGACCTGAAGCACCTTACGGGTATCAGAGATGAACGCCTGCACTTACAGCATCCCTGGGTTTTGAGCGAGCCCTCGGAGAGTGGTGGCATGCAAGGAAGGAGGGAGTGGGAGGGAGAAGGAAAAATGCAAACCCAGGAACCTGGGCAATAGTTACGAAACCCTAACAGTGAGAGGAAGGGGCTGAAATGGATGCCCGCAGGATGATTCTGTAACTCTTGTTTCTTTTGACCTTGACTCGGCCTTTGCATAAAGGTTTGTGGGGTTTTAAATGGATGAATCAGGGCTGGGCTGGGGTTTTTTTTAGTCAACTGAATGGGTCTTGTTGATTTGTTCACGCTATTTAAAAAAAGCATTTTAGTTGATGTTTTTGGACGTTCGAGTTTTCAGAATACACTTTGAAAGTCCAGACCCCTCTTACCTGGGCAAAAAAAAGCAGGCAGTATCTTCCTCTTTCATCATCTTAGAACGGCAGAGCCTGGAGGGACGCTTAGAAGAGCCATCCCACTCTGCAGAATAAGGAGGATGCTTGTTTAAATATTACAGTTGCTACCAAGTGCGACGCTAGGAAGAAACGAATGGGCATAAAATGTGTGAAATTGGCTAAAAGGAAAGATGAGCTTTGACTTGGCTGTAGGAAATCCACGGCTGTCGTCCTTTTTTCCTCTTTATATAGGTATGAGACGAGCGGGATTGGGGAAGCCCGGGTCAAGGAGGTTCTGCTGGATGAGGATGATGATCTCTGGGTCACCTTGCGCCACAAGCACATCGCTGAGGTGTCCCAGTAAGTGACCGTTTCCTCCTCTCCTTCTGGGTTGTGGAGAACACTTTCTGCCCCCTGGCGCGCGGGGGGGGATCAGGACAGCCCTGCCCTAGGGCAGAGGGAGGTAGTCACCTGGGGCGATCCCCTGGGATGCTGGCGAGGTGTTGGAGGGGAGAGCCACGCACCCTCTTGGCTGCCTCTCCCCGTTGACCTCGCCCACTGCCTTCCAATGCCATGGAAGACGTGGTCCTTTGGTGGTCTTCGAAGAAATGCCGTCAGGAGCGCTGAGGAAAATTACTCCTTTGGACTGGAACTCCCAGAGTTTATTATTATTTATTATTTTATTTATTGGACTTATATACCGCCCCATAGCGCTACAAGCACTCTCCGGGCGGTTTATCTAGCTGGGAGGGATGGGTTGCTCAGCCCGCACATTGCCAGCTAGGAATATTGAGGGCAAAACGTTAGCTCTTGAAATCCAGCTTTTGGTGCGAGAGATTGAGGAAGAGAGGATAAGTTTTAAAATAATAGTGCAGGAGATGCCGGGCACTCAGCCAATTGAATAAAAGGGTTTAGATAATAGTGAGACCGTGTATTTCTTTCTAGAAGTCAATGAAGGTGAAGAAAAACAAGGGCCATCCTGTCATTGCATTAATATGGAAATAAATGGTTTAATAAGAATATAGTAAGATAGGCAACAACAGAGCTGGAAGGGGCCCTGAGACCGTGTATTTCTTTCTAGAAGTCAATAAAGGCGAAGAAAAACAAGGGCCATCCAGTAATTGCATTAATATGGAAATCAATGGTTTAATAAGAATATAAGATAGGCAACAACAGAGCTGGAAGGGGCCCTTGGGATCATCCAGTCCATCCCCTGTCAAGGAGGCCCGGGGGGCAGGGAATTGAACTCTCAACCTCCTGGTTCCACAGCCAGAGGCCCTAAACCGCTGAGTGATCCAGCAGTTATAGGTCTGGCATGGTCGTTCGTGGGCATCCTAAAAATGTTTTCCTGCCATCTTCCTTGTGTTTTGGCTCATGAAGCGGAATGATGGGGGTTGTAGTCCAGCAGAATCTCAAAGGCCCTCGCGGATGACCCCGGCGGTCGCCTTTCGGTCCAGGTTTCACGGGTGAAAGTGTGGTATTCCTGACTTCCCTTGTCTTTGTTCTCTTTCAGGGAGGTCACGCGTTCTCTGAAGGACTTCTCTTCCAGTAAGAGGATGAGCACGGGCGATAAGGTGAACACGAGAGAGAGAGAGAGAGAGAGAGAGAGAGAAAGGAGTGTCTCTGATCTGGCCGTGTGTTTGAAGGCTGATTGACAAAGTCACGGATGAGAGGAAGGCGTGGGACGGCGTAGACTGGAAGAGGGCATTGGCTAAATCGCTGGCGGTGATTCGGGTGGCCATTTGTGTCTTGTCCCTCATTCCGTGTCTTGGTGCCGAGGTTGCCAGCCTTGGGACCCCCAGATGGACGGCAACTCTGACCCGCACAGCCAAAGTGGCCGGGGTTTTTGGGAGCTCTAGTCCAAGAACATCTGGCGACCCACGGTTGGCAACCCCAGGGACCATGCCTTGTGTGGATGGACAGGCCAGGATTCCAGTTAGTTTTTTCCCCGTGGTTTTGAGGAGCCGCCGTAAACAGGACAGGTGGGCAGAAAGAAACTGGGATAAAATCAGGATGCAGCGATGGTGTGGTAACGGCGAGGACCGCCTGGGGGAGGGGAACGAACCGTGCGAAGCACAAAAAGCGCTTCGGCGTTTGAGAACGCGACGCGCTCTCCCTCTTTCACGAGTGGAAAAGCTTTCCCCCTTCTGCTCTTTTGGACAACGGTCCCTCCCTTGTTCGTTCGAATTATTGGCTGCAGCGGGTGGGATTCGGGGTCCCAAACAGCTGGCGGGTCAAAGAGGCCCTTCTTCATCATCTTCTTCTTGGCCCAGCTGGTTTTGGAGAACCACTTCAGTCTAGCCTTCTGCTCTTTTGGACAACGGTCCCTCCCTCGTTCGTTCGAATTATTGGCTGCAGCAGGTGGGATTCGGGGTCCCAAACAGCTGGCAGGTCAAAGAGGCCCTTCTTCATCTTCTTGGCCCAGTGGTTTTGGAGAACCACTTTAGTCTAGTCAAGAGAGAGAGAGAGAGAGGGAGAGAGGGTAGAAGGTGGACTTAGTCAAGAGATTTCTTTAAAAGCACCTCTATTGTGTCTCTTAGCTTGCTTTGAGACGTCTGTCTGTGTGTGTGCTTTTGTGAGTGTCTTCAATCCCAACTTACAGCAACCCAGGTAGAGAGTGCTCAGAAGCAGTTCCCCCTTCCCTTCTGCTGGGGGGTAGCCCTCGGATCATCGCTGGGCAGCCTTTGCCCAAGGCCTCCCAGGCTGGCTGTCCTCCCAGGAAGCCCAGAGGGGAGGGGAATCAAACCCTGAACTCTCCAACTCACTGAGCTGTCCGACGACGGCTGATCTGGGATCGGACCGCAGTCCGTCTGGCCCAGTGTTCTGTCTCCCCCAGCGAGGAGCTGTCTGTAAGCAGGAGGCTTTCGTGGTGATCATCCTCCGTTTGTCACTTTCAGACCACCATGAGGGACCTCTCCCAGATGCTGAAGAAGATGCCTCAATATCAGAAGGAGCTCAGCAAGGTGGGTGCCGAAAAGGGCCGGAAATCTCACAAAAATCCCTCCCCCCAAAACACAACAAAATCAGGGAGGAGAGATCACGTTCTGTCCCCTCGGCTAGCGGGAACCCCTAGCAGAACGGTTCACGCGTTGCTCTGCTCTCTCTCTCTCTAGTATTCCACCCACCTCCACCTTGCCGAAGACTGCATGAAACACTACCAAGGCACCGTGGACAAGCTTTGCCGAGTGGAACAGGTAATCGGCTTATTTCGGCGCTCTCGTTAAGAAGGGTGTGTGTGTCTATTTGTGTGGAGAGATGCAAATCCCTGCTGGTCTGGATTTATGGCAAAGCTTGGCTCGTCACCTGCAAGAGAGTAAAATCATCTGGGAAAGGGTGGGGTGGGGGAGCCTTTGCTGTCAAGCTGGCCTGGTTGTGTTTGGTGTTCTTCGTGTTTCATCAACGGGCTTTATTTCTATTTCATTGGTCTTCTAGTATAGGAACAAAAGCGGTGAGGTTGCTCCCGCCATGAAGTTCCAGAAGCGGCGGATGGTGTTTTTGTATGTGTGTGTCTTTTCAAATGATGGCCCAGTCCTTCTTGGCATCCCTGTGGTTTCCCCAATTCTCCCCCTTCATTCTTGCAGGTCCCCCCCGCATCCCGCCAGTCTCCTTCCCCCTGACGGGTTTTATGTTCCTCTCCCCCCACCCCAGGACCTGGCCATGGGCACCGACGCCGAGGGCGAGAAGATCAAGGACCCCATGCGAGCCATCGTCCCCATCCTCCTGGATGCGAACGTCAGCACCTACGACAAGATCCGCATCATCCTGCTCTATATCTTTCTCAAGAACGGTAGGGAGCTGGAGCAGCTTTGCTTGCAGGATGGGGGGGGGCTGTCCCTTTGTCCCTGGAGGCCCTTCAGCAATGAAGAGCTGGCGTGTTTGATTCGGGTGCAGGAGATCCAGAGGCCTCTCCCTCTGCCGGCCTTGCCGACTTGACGGCTTTGTTAAGAGCCACAGGCGTTTCCTACGTGGAACTCGCCGGACCCGGTGTGGACTCTGCCGACTGACACCCCCTCCCCTCTTGGCTCATTCCCTTTTCCTTCTCTTGGCTCCACTTAGGCATTACTGAGGAGAACCTCAACAAGCTGATCCAGCATGCCCAGATCCCGCCGGAGGACAGTGAGATCATTACCAATATGGCCCACCTGGGCATCCCCATCATCACGGATGTAAGCGCTCTCCCCCAGACTCCTAATCGTTCCTCTCTTTCGAAGCATCGGCCACTTGGTTGAGCGGCCAGAGTGGGTTCTGCTCCTTTGCTCTGATCGGAACGGGAAGACCCTCTTGTGTTCCCAGGGGGCGGAACTTGAGTAATATCCCTGGAGTATTAGGTACCTCGGGTCGAAAGGTGGGCCAAGGCTAGAGACGGAAAACACGTTGGCTCTCCGGACAGGGTTGGCCTGTAGCCGTAGCCGAGGCCCTCCGAAGTGGGGCTTCCGAGGAACTGCCACCCAGTCGTGCCTGGAGGGTGGTTCGACACGGGCGCCTTGCTTCAGCGCAGAGGGCTGGAGGCCTTGCTCGGCATATCCAGGATTTTTTGCTTGGTAGTCTCCTGGGTGGCCCCAGAGGATGCAGAAGAGGTGGTGGGCCTGATTCGGATCTCAACCACGTGTCCCCCATGGTTTTTTAAAATGTGTGTCTTGTACTCAGTCCACCTTGCGCCGCCGGAGCAAGCCGGATCGGAAGGAGCGGATCAGCGAGCAGACCTACCAGCTCTCCCGGTGGACGCCGGTGGTCAAGGATATCATGGAGGTAAGGCCTTGGAGTCGGTGGCATCAGGGAGGGGGGGAGGGAGATCCTTTCTCAGGAATGCCAGCGGGCAACACAGCCCTCCGCTCGGCCGATCTCCTGGCACGGCCTCTGCCCTGCCGGGTCCCCCCGTGAGGCTGTCCGTTAGGGGTGCCTCGTCCGCTCTGCATCCTTTCCTCTCTCATTGAGAAACCACCTTGAAGGCTCTCTTCGGTGCTGCCTCACTTCCTGAATTGAGTTGGTTTTTGACGTGGCCTTCCTGGCGGTGGCACCTCCGTTTGTTGAAATCCCTTCCATCAGGGAACAGATCGTTCACTTGGTGCCCATTCTTTTTGTGTTCAGGTATGTCTCCTCCGGTCCATGTTTGCTGCACAACAACTGATTCGATTTATTCTGTCTTCTTTTTTTTCTTTTCTTTCTGACTGTTTTTACTTTTTAAAATACCAACTGTTCTTGCCTGTTTTTTAAAAAAATACAGCCTGCCTTTTTCTGTCCTGCTGAAAAGTTAGGAGCGGGTATTACTACTGCTCAAAACAAAGCAACGATAGTCGTTTGACAAGAACAACGACAACAATAGTAATAATAATTCATAGGCATCCTTCAGTCTCGACCACCTTGAAGGCTCTCTTCGGTGCTGCCTCACTTCCTGAATTGAGTTGGTTTTTGACGTGGCCTTCTTGGTGGTGGCACCTCCGTTTGTTAAAATCCCTTCCATCAGGGAACGGATCGTTCACTTGGTGCCCATTCTTTTTGGGTTCAGGTATGTCTCCTCCGGTCCTCCACGTTTGCTGCACAACAACTGACTCGATTTATTCTGTCTTCCTTCTTTTCTCTTTTCTTTCTGACTGTTTTTACTTTTTAAAATACCAACTGTTCTTGCCTGTTTTTTAAAAAAATACAGCCTGCCTTTTTCTGTCCTGCTGAAAAGTTAGGAGCGGGTATTACTACTGCTCAAAATAAAGCAACGATAGTCGTTTGACAACAACGATGACGACAATAGTAATAATAACACAAGCAATAATAATACTTGAGTAACAGTCGTAAAAATAAGACATTAGCAATGAACAATAGTAATGGTATCAAAAGAAATAACTGAATTAAAAATGTGATTCACGGATAACTACTCATGAGTCATAGAACACATAAGAATAATTGAATAGCCATGGTGAAAATAATGCCTTGTTGACAGCAGTGTAAGAACAAGAGGGCTGCAGAGGGACGTCCGTGAAGCAGGTGGAGGTCCAGACCCGGGGTAGAGGGTCAAGGTCACGCCAGAGGTGCCCTGGTTCAGACTGAGGGTTGAGCTGGACTTTATAAGGTCTGCTCTTAGGGATCAGCTGATGGGGTCGCTTGGCGAGGTGGTATTGCAGCCTCAGTAGCGCCCTCAAGCTTCCTCTGGCCGTTCGGCTTGCAGAGAAGAGCTGTCGGCGCCGTGCTGAGAGCGACCGTTTGGGGCTGGACCCTGGGAAATCGGGTCCCTGCCTATCACCCCACGGGGTGATCGGGGTTCAGGCCTCCCCTGTGTCTCCCACCCAGCCCTTACCTCCCAGGGTCGTCGTGGGGGTGAAGTAGGATGGGCGGAGGGTCTGCTCCCTTGAACTCATGGGGAGATTGGTATCATAAATCGAAGGAAGGCGCTCGGGGGCGATGAGACGCTCCGGTTCACGTAGCCAGAAGGGGAAGGCAACCCTTTCTCAAGAAGAGCTGATTTTTCCTCTCCTCCCCCCCACCGCCCCCCCAACTCTCGTTCCAGGATGCCATTGATGATAAACTGGACACCAAACACTATCCTTACATCTCCACCCGCTCCTCGGCCTCTTTCAGCACTACAGCGGTCAGGTAGGGTGACGCTGCCTGAACTGGTGGTACCCAAGGCTAGGCTCCCGGTGTGATGCTCGGGGCTGGGCCTTCCTCTCCCTCCTCCTCTTCCTCCTCTTTCCCAGCACCCTTTTGTGACCCTCAGTTTTGTGACCCTCATCAAGAAAAAGGAGCAGGAAGGCTGGCCGGCTTTACCGGATTGTTACGGGAACGGCCATAGAATCCAGCCTGCAAGAATTCACCCGGTTTCACAGACGCCTGGAGAAAGCGTGCGTCTGTGCCGTGTCGCTGTTGCTCCGCTCTGCGGGAAGGATTTGACCGCCATCCTCTTGACCCATAAATGTTTAGTTGTGCCCTTTCGTGGAGACGTGAGGCCACTCCACACGGTCTTGTCTTCCTGTTCTTTTTTTTTCTCTCCTCCCGCTCTCAGTGCTCGCTACGGACACTGGCACAAGAACAAGGCCCCCGGGGAGTACCGGAGCGGGCCCCGCATCATCATTTTCATCCTGGGGGGTGTCGGCCTGAACGAGATGCGCTGTGCCTATGAGGTGACACAAGCCAGCGGGAAGTGGGAGGTCCTAATAGGTGAGTCCTTTTGTGGGCGGAGCCGGCATTTTGCCCCGCCTCGTTTTCCGCCCCGCCTCCGTCTTGCGCTCCTCCGGCTTTCCTCCTGTTCCCTCTCTTCCTCCTCCTCCTCCTCCTGGCCATATCCAGCCTCCAGATGATTTGTTCCAGAAGATTCTCTGATACGGAAGCATCTTTCCGCTAACTAGAGTACCGAAATTTTACAGACCCAACCCAAAACATACTTTATGATGTGAGAGGCTACCCTCATATGACGAATTTGGGAATTCTGGACATTTACTCTTGGGGCATCCGGGTCCCAGAATCGCTAACCATTAGCTGTACTGCCTGGGGCTAAGGAGAACGGACATCCGAGAACACCTAGAAAGTCAGAATTTGAGGGCTACTCTCTGGAAAACCAGAGCTGGCCTGGCTGGCTGGCGCCAGCTTTGAGTGGTCCCTGTTGAAATATGTTCTCGAGCCCCCCCCCTCCCCGAATTGTTGAAAACTGAGCATCAGGAAATTTAGTAAGGAAGCTGAACATGAGATGGAGGGAAACAGACAAAAAGATCACAAGAGGGGCCCAGAGATCTCCCCCACTTGCCTGCCTTTAGTAACCACGTGTTCGTAGGTAGATTGACACTCTCTGGCTTTCTTCCCGCATGCTCTTTTTCCAATTTTAGTTGTTATCGCTCTCTAAGGTTCCAGTACTCGGCAAGTGCTGGTCTAGTTATCCTGCAGGAGATTCCTCAGGAGTAAATGCAGGTGAAGAAGGACCTTGCACCTAGCCAACCGTAACCTTGCCCAGGTCAGATGGCATTCAGATGGTGTCCCCTCCCATCTTTGCCTTCTTCGGTGATTTGAGAAAAAAAATAGGGGCCACCTCAGAAGAGTTGGGAGCCTTCTCTGTGGTGGTTCCCCAGTTTGGGGGCCTCCTCATTTTCTCTCCTCCTTGGTCTGTGCACTTACGCCCTCAGCTGAGCTTGGCCGCCATCTTGGGTTGGCCTCACTGGTGGCCCACAACCCACACCGCCTTGGCGTGTGCCTTTGGCGATCCCAGCTGATCCTGGCTGCCATTTTACCTCAGTCTCCTTGAACACCCATAGCCAAGGACTCTAGGGCTGGGCCATTGAACGCCCAGCGTGTCTCGGCCGCCATTTTGCGTTGGCCTCGGTTCTTCCCCCAGAGGACCCTCTCGTTGTCTCTGTTCGCACATGATCTCGGCCACCCTCTTTGCCTCTGCTTCCATCCCCTCATCTGTTTTGCTGAATGTTTCTCCTCGTCTGATGGAGGTGGCCGTCTCGTGACCTTCTCTCCTTCTCTCCTTCCCCCTTGCGCCTCATGCATCTGTTCCGACTGCGTGCCGCGACATCACCGTTCTCTGTGTGTGAGCGTTTATCGCATGCGTGCGTCCGTGTGTCGGGTATCTCTGAAAATGTAACTCCTAATGTTTCAACGATGCGTGTTGTTTTTCCTGCAATCTGTGATAGCTGCATGTCTGTTTGTGATGTTTTATCAAGGCCCCCGAGCAGCCTCCTCTCTACTTCCTGGGTGGCGGCATTTGGTGTTTGGGCCTCTCTGCCAGATTCATCCGAGCCGATTTATTCCCCCACTGCAGGGTCTGGTGACCCTTTTTCACCTTTCAGGAAAGCAGTCCTGGAGCTCCAAGACTTGCCAGAATTTCATTATTATTTTTTTTGCTCCCCGCCTCCCCGCCAGCAGCAGGGCTTGTTCAGAAGAGATCACGAGAGATTTCCCCCTTTCCTGACTCCCACTTTAGCTTCACCGAGAATCGCCTTGGCCAGTCCGTGTGGTCTGGAGAGACATGAATGGCCCCCCACCCAGAGATTAAAAAGTCCGCTTTTCTTCCGCAGCCTCCCTTGTACATGACAGAGTCGTGCCTTTACTGTAGAGCAGTGGTGCCCAACCTTGGGTCCCCAGTTATTTTTGGACTACAATTCCCAGAAGTCTCCACCACTAGCTGCGCGAGAATCGCCTTGGCCAGTCCGTGTGGTCTGGAGAGACATGAATGGCCCCCCACCCAGAGATTAAAAAGTCCGCTTTTCTTCCGCAGCCTCCCTTGTACATGACAGAGTCGTGCCTTTACTGTAGAGCAGTGGTGCCCAACCTTGGGTCCCCAGTTATTTTTGGACTACAATTCCCAGAAGTCTCCACCGCTAGCTGCTCCAGCCATCATTTCAGCCGAGTAGATCTGTTGACTCCATGTGTCGAGCAGAAGTCCCGAATCTTGACAAACTGGGACAGCCTCCATGGAGAGCTCGGTGGCCTAGGTCTCTGGAGCTGCAGGGCCATACGTTGGGGGTTCGATTCCCCCGTGGTCCTTCCTCGGGAGGGGACGGACTCCGTGACCCACAAGGTCCTTCCCAGCTCTGCAGTTTTAAGAGGAGGATGATTAAAACCAGAAACGAAGGAATGGTGCTCTCCTCTGTATAGTAAATACGCAAAATTTCCCCATGAATTCATTGGTCACTTGCACATCACATCTAGAAACCCCAACCTCCCTGCTGTGAAGACCGATTGTGGAGGCCCAACGCCGCGTGCCAAAACCCGGTACCCTCTTCTTCGCATTTCAGTGATGCTTTCTCACATCCCTTCCCTGTGTTTTGTGTCTTTCTGTGTCTCTTCCTTTCACGTTGTGTTTCAGCCACCCTCACCGGCTTGTATTTCTTTCTTTGTACCGATATGACTTCTGCCGTGAACGCAATACCGTAAAGGCCTTGGGATCTTTTGGGGGGAGCTGTGGGAGGGGGGGGCATGTTCCTTCTTGAAGGCTGATTTTTTTTTCTTTTCCTTCTTCTTATCTTTTAACTTCTGTGCAAGCCGTTCCGCGATTTGTTCCCTCCACAGGTTCCACCCACATCCTTACTCCCACCAAATTTCTCATGGATCTGAGGCACCCTGACTTCAGAGACTCCACTAGGGTATCTTTTGAGGACCAGACTCCAACAGTGGAGTGAGAGCCAAAGAAAGCCAAAAATATATATAAAAAGTAAAAGCAGCTTACTATAAAACCAGCCAACAAACCAAAAGAAACTCTTTCCTCTTTCGGAAGGGCTTCTTTGATTCTTACATCACTTTTCTCTCTCTCTTTCTTTTTTATTATTTCACTCTTTCTCTCGCACTCACTCACTCACTCTCCGTTCTCCCTTTTTTCTGTTCTTGATTTTTTTAAAAAAAATTTGGATGGGAAAATGCTTGCGTTTCTTTTCTTTCTTTCTTTTTTTTTCCAAATCAACAAACTCGGTGGTTTTGAAAATGTGCCCCACTGCCGCGTCTGTCGAACCTTGTATCGGGACTCTCTCTTAGCCAGACCTCCCCGAAGCAGGGCGCGTGACTCCATTTCTGGAGGGAACGACAAGCCCCACGAATGGGTTGGGTTTGTGGACATGGAGGCTTTATGGGGAAATTCGCATTTCGGACGCTCGAGAGGCTGGCTTCACACACTTAGCTGGGGAAGATGGATCCTGCAGTGCTGGGTCCAGCCGCATTGCTTGTTACGTTCTTAGGTCTTCTGCTTCCATGGGAGAAGTCAATAATAATAATAACAACAGCAATAATAATTTATTATTATTTCCAGTTAGGATTAGTAGAATCCTAAATTGCCAGGTAGAAGGAGATACATACAGAGCTGAGAAGGACGAGGATTTAATTCTCGGCGGATTCTTCTCTCCGCTTAGAATTTTATTTGGCTTGATTTCTTCATTGCATGTGTTTATGTGAGGACTCCCAGAACCATTTGTGGTGACAGATTAAAAGATATTAAAAAAACAGGTTGGAAAACATGGTTTAGAAGCAAATCTGATAAGGAAGATCTTGGGGACAATAACAGTTCTAGGTATCCTTTAAGAAAAAAACACCAACAACATCAGAAGAAAAGTAACGGATATGCGTGTGAGACGTGTTTTCCCAGAGCCGGCGAGGAGACTGTGAGGCAGAGCGTTGGAAAGGAATGTTTAGCTTTGACTTTTGCAAAGGGACCCGTCATAATCACAGCCGGCCCGTTGCGCTTGGGCAGAGCACTGTTACGTCCGTTGTGTCAAGGCTGAGTCCAACATACGGCAACCTTGATAGGATTTTGGAGGTTCAAGGAATGGGTGGGTCCCCGTTGCCCTCCTGGGCAAGTTGCCATGGACGAGCAGGATTGGAACCCAGCTCTCTTGGGTCCTAGACGGAGGCTCTGGCCATGACACCCCACTAGCATAGTGTGCACCCCATGACTAACTGCCTATCCTGTGAGTGTCTTTTTCCTTTGTGTGGCTGTGTCAGAGATAGCGTGGCAGAGGTGTGGCTTTGGTGTGCTCACGGGCGCAAAGCTACCCGGGTGCGCTTGTAAGGACGCCACGCGTCGTTTGGATGTTTGCAGGTTCATTGGGTGGATCTTTAGTTTTCTAGCCGGCAGAGAGTCGGGTGGTTGAGCCTTGGTGCAAAGATTTTGGTTTTGGAGACCGTGCGGTGGAGGGACCCCTCCGCGCCATCCTGCTGGCCACCGACCGACTGCCACCGCTTGGGGCATCCGACTGAATGCAATAATATTTGAGTTTGAACCCCAGAGACGCAGGACTCGGGTTACACCCTTTCTGTGTCGCTCTCTGCGTTGATAATGATCAATGGGAAGGACGAACTTTTAGGGACTGGCAAGGAAGGGATGTCGTCCGGCTTTGAGTGGGTGGCCTCAGAAGAAACCTCTCCCCTGCCGAATCCTCCGTTCGAATCTTTAAGGATTTTTAAAAATACATATTACTAATTGGGGGGAGTGGGTGTCTCAGTTATCCAGATGCTCTCCTGGTGTCTTTAAAAAGTCTGGTTCTGGTGGTATTTCTTTTTCTCTTCCCCCCGGCTCCCTTTTCCACCCAAATCTCGAAATAGTGCACATTTTCAAGTACGGACGATCCTGTTTCTTCCGTTAATTCGGCTCTCCTTCCCTCCGACTCCGGAGGGGAGAGGAAGGGTCGGCTCTTCCCTTTGAAGGCCCGACCCTTCGCTGCATGCGCAGGTCCCATGCTCAACATGGTCACATTGGCTTCTCGCTGTTCCACGCACACTGCTGGGCGTCCCCCCAACGCCCCCCCTCCCAACGCCTCGTTCCTTGACCACGCTTTGTTCACGGAAAGATCGCCAGGCGAGCTTCCGTTGGTTTTTTGCTTCGGTTTCTTTTCGAGCCTCATTTTTCTGCACTAAATGTAGCAGTAGTTCCATAGGCTTACATTTTGCAAGCATTTCTTCCAAGAAAACTAAATACATATGTTTTTTTAAATGATATATCTATATCTCTCTCTCTATGTATATGCATATATCTCTGTACGCCACTCTTTTATTGGGGTGGGGAGGTGTCATGCATTAAGGGGCTGTGATATCTCCCACACTCCCTCCCCGATGTTACTGGGGTACCACTGTGGGTCGGTGGGTGGGTGGGCTTGTGGGTGTTAATGACCCTCTTAGCATAATTCCTTTGGGGATGATCCTTAGCTCTGAGGAGCTTCCCTTTTTCTGACTTGAGGCAACCCCCCCCCCAAAGTTTGGGTCCACAAGTGGGCATTCGCTCGGAGGGTGGGTGGGACTGCCCCTCCTTTCCCAATGCCCAATTCGGGCCGTTGAAGCCCCCTCCTGTTTAACCGAAGGACAGGCAACGTAGCCTTCTGCCAGCATGCAGGAGTACAACTCCCATCACCCTTGTTCCTGTGGCCAGGGGATGATGGGACCTGCCAGTTCCCCAATGTTTGGGAAGGGCTACGCTGGTTATCCCTGCCAATCTCCCTTCTCCTTATCCCTTATTTTTTGACCCCCCTCTGCTCTTCGAAGACTCTAATCCTCCTCCTGTCTCCTCCTCCTCTTCCTCTTGCCCCCCTTTCGCAGGATCTACCCATGTCCTCACCCCACAGAAGCTGTTGGACACCTTGAAGAAGCTGAATAAGCCGGATGAAGAAAGCAGTAGTTAAAAGCTCACCCGCAGCACGCCCCCGAAGCCACCCTCTTTCCTCCAGCCCGTTTCCCATCTCCCCTGCTCTTGCCGTCGTCGTTTGTTTCGTCGGCTGTGGGCGCCGTTCCCACCCTCTTTCGACGTTTTGGGGAAATGCCCCTTTCTTCGGTTCCCTTCCCTTCCCTTTCCCCTCCTCTCCCTTTCCCCTCCTTCCTCTTCCATGTCTGTCATCCCTCTCTTTGATTGAAAGGTAAATACAAGACAGGAACAAAAATAATATATATGCATGCACGCTAAGGGTGAAAGAAGAAGAAGAAGAAGAATATATTCTATACTATAGATATTATCTCCATATGCATCCGACGAAATACCAAATCCCATTTCTGGAGAATCCATCACTTCATCCTTCGCGGTATATGACGACGACAACTATTTTTCAGAATGATGTATTTTTTATGTTTATTCTATTTTATTTCTCTCTCTCTCTCTGCCTGAATGGAGGAATGCTCGTGACTTATTTATGGCTCTGTCCTCTTGTCCCTAACCTGAGAAGCAAACTGTGAATGTCCCTCTCCTACGCGTTGGGAGTTTTGCTTGTGTTTTGAAAAAACAAACAAAAAACCCCCCCTGTAAATCCCCGTCCTTCCCATGGACTCGACCCGCAACCCTCTTGCACTGCTGTCGTTGGGCGTGTCGTCTGTTTTTGTATTTCTTGGGTCTGTCAGTGTGCAGGGTGTTGGCTTGCTAGAAGGATGATTAAACTGCATTTTCTTGAGTTGCTTTCCCTTCTGTTCTCGTGGGTGTTTTTTTTTTAAAGGTTGATGTTTTGACCACACCAGTGCATTTAGACCCCTCTGCCCTAGATGGTCTGTGTTCCGATCTCACCCCCCGCTCTCTCCGGGGACCCGTCTTCTGCTTCTCATCCAGCCTGAGGCATGCCAGGCGCAAGGCGGCTCTCTGCTGTTCTCCGTCTCGTACTTTAGAAAAGCGGGGTAGGTGATCTCCCCCGAGGAGACTTCCTGGCCATTTCCTCCACCTGCAAATATATATGTATATATTGGAGGCCGGGTGACTCACTCGAGGGACCACCATTGGGTGGGGAGATGGCAGCCTTCTTCCAAGGACCAAGGGCTCCAACTCAGCGATGTGCCCATCTCTGCGTCTTGTGGAGTAAATGCCCCAGAAAAACCCACTACCCTGTCCTGGTAGATGGTGGAGACCCAAAAATGGTGGGAAAGGCCCTCTAACCGCTAGGCTATACTACCAGTCAGGATCCACCTTTGAGGTGGTCTATGGGCTATCAGAAGATGAAGGGGTCACTCGGTGCAGATGGCCAAAGCTCCATGGTTTTTGTAAGAGAAGGCCTTGTGTAGAGAGGGTTGGATACACGTGAGCACGGTGGATCGCAGAAGGTGGATGGACCTCTTTCCCACCTTCTCTCCTCTGTGAGTTCTAGATCAGGCGCCGCGTGTGCTGGGTGGGGTAGTTTTATTCTCTGGAAATTCCCAGGATTTTTATTTATTTATTATTATTATTTTGCCGGGTACTAGTATTTAGCTAGCTTGCTGTTCCCTACGAAAACTCCTGTTCCTTCCTCTCCGTCTGGATCAGCTTGTTAGATGTTGCAATAGACAGATGGATCTTGGCCTCCGTGAGTGTTGTGAGTGTGGGTCCTTGTGAAAAAAAGAAAAGAAAGAGGAAGCCGATACCCTCAACTGATCAGCCAACCTTTGCCAGTGCTCAATAGGTTTGGTAGGTTTTGCTTCAGAAACCTGCCTGACCTATTGAGCCAAAGGTTGGCGACAAGCTGGAGGGAACAGCTGTGTGTCCTTTCCAAAGCAGAAATGCCTTTGCAGTACAGTGGAACCTCGACTTACAAACTTAATCCGTATTGGAACGGCGTTCGTACGTCGAAACGTTCATAAGTCGAGGCAAAATTTCCCATAGGAATGCACTGAAAACCATTTAATCCGTGCCGGTTGTTTTTTGTTCTTATGTCAAGGCGCTGTTCGCAGGTAGAGGCATTAGTTCCCATAGGAACTAATGCAAAGCTGGTTAATCTGTACTCTATCGCTAGGGGGAGAATTTTTATTTTTTCTTCCTTTGACCTAAGATGAACTTGGGTCAAAAAAGGGCAGGAAAGGAGGGAGGGAACACCTTTTAAACAGAACACTTTTTTTGCGTTCATAAGTCGAAGCTCCGTTCGCAAGTCGAAGCAAAATGTTGCGGACCGAGCGGAACTAATGCAAAGCTGGTTAATCTGTACTCTATCGCTAGGGGGAGAATTTTTATTTTTTCTTCCTTTGACCTAAGGAACTTGGGTCAAAAAAAAGGGCAGGAAAGGAGGGAGGGAACACCTTTTAAACAGAACACTTTTTTTCCGTTCATAAGTCGAAGCTCCGTTCGCAAGTCGAAGCAAAATTTTGCAGACCGAGCGGTTCGTAAGTTGAAATGTTCGTAGGTAGGGACGTTCGTTAGTCGAGGTTCCACTGTACTGGACGTTCGTAAGTCGAGGTTCCACTGTACTGCTCTTAATCTGAACGCCCAACGCTGTAATCCATCTCCTTTCTTTGGCTGAAACCGCCAGGAAGGTAGAGGAGCTTTTCATTAAAAAAGCGGAATAATAAGAAAGAGATGAAGGGAAGCAAAAACAACAGCTTGCATACGTTGTCCTAAAGGATAATTTTTCCTAGCCATTGGCAATTAATTCTCTGTGTTATTTTATTTGCAAAAGAGGCTTTGGCCCACAAGATTTGACTTGATTCAACTTGATGCAGTTGATAGGTTTCTAAAAAAGCATGCTTAGCATGGTGGTGTCCTGTTTCTCCCCTTTCCTCATTAGGAGGGAGGAAATTAAATAAAGGTATCTGTGCTGAAAGGAATGACAAGTGGATTCGGGGAAGACTGAAAAGAATGACGACAAGGGGGCCTAAGGGTTAGATGTGATTCGCCCAAAATTACAATAAAGAGATGAGTTCCTTTTTAACTAAACTCTCCATGGCAGCATTCCAGGAGTTGCGACAGAAAAGCATGAACAGGAGGCATGAACAGAAGTAGACTCTGTGAACTCCCGCATGGGAATCACGCAGGCGATAGTTCTCGGGCCGGAAGGGCGCTTCGCCCAGAAACCTCCCGAGCGAGCTGGTGGCTCTTGTCTCGGCGACCGTGGCGTGTCGCTGGCTGGAGTCTTCTGCCCGGGGTCGGTCCAAAGGAAACGGTTTCCACCTCTGGTTAAAAGATTGCTGTGTCTCAACTGAGGAGGGAATGGGATTTTTTTTGTTTTTGGACTTCTCGGACTACCTGTCCCATCCTCCTCCATCCTAGGCGTTCTTCCTGGCAGAGAGACTGCCTGTGGCCGCTCGCCTGGGAGGAAAGGCCTCGCCAGGAAGGCTCGCAGGCTTTGCTCGGCCGAGCTTCCTGTCCTGGGAGGAAGCTCCCGGCGAGGGCTGAGACAGGAAGAGGAAGCGGGTGCTTAGAGCCAGGCCGAGCTCATCCTCAAGAGCCTTCCAGCCGAGGCCGTTCCTCCCAGGCGAGCCCCATTAAGGGGGGGATTTTCTGCTGTACAGGCCACAAACGGCCAGAATGGAGGAGGATGGGATGAATAGTCCCCCCCCCAAAAAAAAACCCCATCCCTCTCCCTGGATTCCAAAAAGGGGATTTTAATGCATGGGGATCATTAAAAAAGAAAGGTGGTTGCTTTGGCTTGATGGTGTCCCTTGGCCACAGAAATTGGGTTTTCCGTCGGGCCCCGTGGCTTCTTTACCTTTGACCCTCATTGTTTCGCAGAAAAGCGTCCCCCCCCGGCCGGGGTGGGAGCCCCGCTTTTCCGCCCCTCCTCTCCCCTGCGGATGGTGCGCCTCTTGTCGTGACGTCTCGTGTGGTCATTAGCGAAGCTTGCAGAACCCACACTTCCTGGAAAACGTTTCTCACCGGTTCTGCCCCTAAGGCCCCCCCCAAATGGCTGCATTGGCTTGATTCTCTTCAGGGGGGGCTTGCCAAATGCATGTCACTTTTCGTGCTGCATTCGATGGCTCCTTAACTCCCCCCTATTCTTCGTCGAGGACCATTCTCTGAACCAGACGCCCTCCAGGGGTTTTTTGGGGGGGGCTACAGTGGCTATCCTCACACATGGCGTGTGGGGGAATGATGGGTGTTGTTGTCCCATTCCTTGGAAGGAACCCCCGTGAGAGAGACAGCTGCCCGAGGCTAGCTGGGTGGAGGAAAAGAAGAAAAATCCCTGCACCCCCTGCTTGTTTTTGTGGTCTTTCCCCTTGTTTTCTTAGGGCAGGGGCTGTGTTCGTTTTTTTCCACCGGTCCATGTCCCATTGTCCCCACCTTCTCCTGCATCTCCCCACCCACCCTGTTTAAGCCAAAATATATTCGCATCGCTGTTGCTTTGGGGTCTCCTTTTCTGTTTTGTCTTAGATCAGTTTTTTTAAAATGAGTTGTGTTACCTGGAAACGAATTGTTTACTGAAAAGGGGAGGAAAAAGTGAGACGATGGGGGGGGGGAAAGGGGGAAACGCTGTCATTGTTTTAATTCTTGAAATTTCGGTGTTTGGAACTGTCGAAGCACAAAAATGTGTCATCTCTCTATAGCTGTTACTGTACTTTTAAAAAGAAGCACTTGGAGTCGAAATAAACATTTGTGTTGTCCCGTCCAGTGTGGCGAAGCCGAGTTCTCGATTTGCGTTCTGATCATACGAAGTATTTTTTTTTTCCAGCCTTGGGTCTTCCCTGAGTATGGGATCCATCCTGGCCAGGAACCTGGACAGGGCAGGGCGGGGGAGAGGGAGGCGAGGGTGGCAAACCTTCTGCAATCGGGTCTTGCACTTCCAGATGAGCTGCTTGGAGGATCCATCTAGGTGCAATGCTAAGGATCTGAAAGCCGTTTAAGCTTAACGATGACAATTTTTCTGGTTTTATCCCCATTTCCTCACATTTCTGAGCTCAAAATACATTCAAAAATAAAAGCTCATGGCCTTTTTCTATTCAAATTTTCATGGCCTGTCCACATTTTCCCTCAGCGCTTTCCCCAATCAATTGCATTTTCCCTTCCCAATGCAAATGTTCTTGTAGGTCTCTGTCTGGAGAGCCCAGAGGGTTGGGAGTTCAGTTCCCCTACGGGGCCTCCTGGACAGGGGCTGGACTGGAAGATCTTCCTTCCATCTCTGCAGTTCTAAGATTATTATTGTTATTATATCATCATCATCATCATCATCATCATCATCATCATCATCATTATTATGCAGCTTTTGATTAGGGCAGTGGTCCCCAACCTTTTTGGGATTGCGGACTGGCTGAGTCTTTGCGGAAGGCGGGGCACCCCTCTGCGCTTGCGCACACTCTCAGGTGCATGCACGAAGCAGTGGGGGAGTGTGTGCGTTCCCCCACCCTTTCACTCAGGCGCATGCACGAAGCAGTGGGGGAGCGTGTGCATTCCCCCACCCCTTCATGCAGGAGCGCCTGCACACCCACCCACCCCTTCGCTCGGGTGCATGCGTGAATCGCCTGCACACCCACCCACCCCTTCGCTTGAGTGCATGCGTGAATGGGTGGGGGAGGACTCACGCCAGCGCTGGCATGCACACGCGTGCGCAAAGCAGCTGTGGGGAGGGGAGTGCATGCGTGCGTGCGTGCGTGAGGCCTGTCTCCACGGCCCGGTCCGGTTCAGGCCACGGCAAAGCAGCTGTAGGGAGGGGAGTGCGTGCGTGCGTGCGGCCTGTCTCCACGGCCCGGTCTGGTTCAGGCCACGGCCCAGCACTGGGCCACGGACCAGGGGTTGACAACCGCTGGATTAGGGGACTGCATTACAAAAAAAGGAAGAATGGTGAGTTTTGAACAGGGAATGGTGAATTTTGAACATTTGCAAGTGCAAAAATTAGGTAAGTTTGCATTAAAATGCAAACTAAATTTATTCCCTCCCCTCTTCCCAAAAAAAAACCCTTTGTTAATTTGCCTGTTTTTTTATGTTCAATAGATTTCAGTTCACATTGCATTGGGCCTGGATTTTTCAGTGAAAAACCAAAGGACAGATCAGGCTGTTCATGTGAAGAGTTTGTGTAGAGCCAGCCCTGCCATCAGCCTTAACCAGAGGTTGGATATTGAAAAGGCAAACAAAGGGATCCATTATGATTTGATGGCAAAATAAGGAGGAAAGGCGCCAAAAGAACTTAGCCAGCTTCGGATACTAGTTGCACCTTAGAAGGGGTGGCTGGGTGGGTGCTCTTTGCTGATCTTTCCCCAGACATGTCTTGGGGTGATCCTCTATTTTTACTGTGTCTCCCTCCGCTCCAGGCTGGAATCTTAGAATCGTGAAGTTGGAAGGGGCCTCTTAAGGGCATCAAGACCAACCCTCTGCTCCGTGCAGGAATTTGGTATCATCTGCAAATCTGACAAGCATTCCCTGCACTCCCTCATTCAAGTCATTAATAAAAATATTGAAGAGCAGCGGGCACAGGGCTGAGCCTTGGGGTAACCCCACTTGTGACCTCCTACCATTGAGAGAAGGACCCATTAATCATCACCCTCTGAGTCTAGATTCTGTAGCCATCTCTGTATCCAACTGACAGTCATTCTATCCAGCCCACGCACACCTAGTTAGCTTGCTAATCGGGTTCTCCGTTTCCCCCCCAAAACAAAAAACACCCTGCTTAGAATCAATCCATAGCTTAAAAACATCCAGAGAAGGTGCATGAAAAATATATTTATTCAGCCAAAACGGTTTTATATAACAAATTTCCTCTTCAAAGTGCTGCTTTCTGATTTAAGGAAAAAGAACCGACCGTACCACAAGCGTGGGCCCCTTCACAGTTTATATTGCGGTGGCTCTAATTTAAAAAAAAAAAGAAAATGTGAGACACACACTCAAAATGGATCCCCAAAACAACAAGGACCAGGGAAATGGCTGAAACAGCAGGTTTCTGATTCTGGAGGTTTGTGAGCAACAGGTATAGGTCCCCTTTTTCCCTGTCCTCAAAGAAATCACAACAGGGACATTTGTAACCTCCTCCTTAGATTTCTCTTAGTACTTGCATTTCTACAATGTTGTCATTCCCATATACTGTACGCATGTATGTATATAATAACACCATTGCCACCAACACACGCATTTGTATTCCTTATTCTCCAACACGCACATTTTTGCATGGATTAAAAAGAAGAAAGAAATCAGGAGGGTACTGCTGAAAAACAGGTTTGCTTCCCTGTCCTGCATACCCGAGAAATCAGGAGGGTACTGCTGAAAAACAGCAAACTGGTTTGCTTCCCTGTCCTGCATACCCATCTTGCTGGGCTCTTGCTAGGTTTCCAGCGTTAGCCCGGATAGATTCACTCCGATGTGCAACGTCTGCAAGATTCGGGCAGGAAACGGCATCTCCCATTGCAGCTAAAAGAAAAAAATTCGGATCTCATGGGAGTTTTTCTTTGACGTTAACTAAAGAGCTTGTCTCGTTGAAGGCTGGATTAGAAAAAACGGAACGTTTTTCTGGTCTCTCTCTCTCGAGAGAGCGTGGTGAGATAGCATGCCGCTCTCGACAAATACGGGAGGCTGCTGTTAATGTGTGCAGAAATATGGGAACACACTACTCTCATTGCATACAACAATACCTCGCATAGCGCTGATTGGCTATAGCGTCCATGCTCGGGGGGGGCAGGGTGGCACTGGATGGTGGCTCCATGCCAGCTCTCCCAAAGGCATGACGTTAAAATAATCCCATTTAGCACTGATTTGGTGAGCGCTCCATTTTCCTGCATTGTATCCTGAGTGATGAGCGAGGTATTCCTGTAGACATTAATGTCTCAAGAGCAGGGAGATAGTTGAGGTAACCAGGCTCAATGGAGGGCTGAGTGATGAGCGAGGTATTCCTGTAGACGTTAATGTCTCAAGAGCAGTGAGATAGTTTCCAGTTGAGGTAACCAGGCTCAATGGAGGTTTTTTTTGGTCCTTGAACTGCAAATCTTACTTGATTAGTCATCTGGGGTTTTATTTTGTGTATCAGAAACCTCTTTCATTGTCTTTTAGATTTAGACAATGATGTATTTAAAAAAAATCTTCATTTTTTTAATGCAACTGCAAAACTGGCATGCGGTATGCACTTTCTTAGAAGATCTAGTTTGTCTTTCTCACTCACAAGGAGATGTGGGGCGATGCCCTCGTCTAAAAGGTTTGTTCTCTCCAGCTCCAAAAAGACTATACAGCTTTGATCTCTCTGCAGATTTAAATAAGATTAATGAAACTCTCAGAATTATTACTTTAAAAAACCCCACATCGGAATGCTTTTTTTTAAAAAAATCTACCACCAGGCACTAGTTATATTCGTACAAGTCTTTGGACTGACACAACATGTGGTTCAGAATGAATGGGTCTTTTAAAAAAACAACGATCCAGTCTTCCTTTTTCTGCTCGCACACAGACACACACAAGACGTGAGGTAGGTACTGCTACGGATATGCTCTCTGGTTTTAGAGGGTCAATACAAGCACTTTTACAGCCAGTGGGGAGTTTTACCGATGACGTGCAACCAGCACATTTCAGTTCCTAGGCATGGATTTACAGAAGTTGTCACCCATGGACCAGCAGCATTAGAGAAAGCCGACTTTCCTCCGAGAGGACGCAGTGTCGGGCAACGCTGGTTCCAAGACGGCTTTATCGGGAGGAGACGGATAAAGCAGAAGTTATTCCACAGCCCTGGAGAAACGTCCAGTTGCTTCTTCCTGTTTTCCAGATTCCTTTTATAAAAATAGGCTGGCCAGATTAAGCCGGACTGACTCATCAACTCCGTGCAACAGGTGAAGCTGTTTCATGACGGATCGGGTCCGACTTTCTTCCGACAAGCTGGGGTCTGAAGACTTAAGGCATAATAACAATTGAGGTAAGGAGAGAAAAAACGTGTCCGGGAAGAGACGGCACGACTCGACCACTTCAGAGTGTGAAGGACCCAACGCTGGGAAACGCAGGGCGGTTATGAAGATTCGCAGGTCCTTGGTCAACGTTAGACACACGTACCGGACTACAGGCCCTTCTGGTGGCCACTTTTTTAAGAACCGAAAAGCAGCCACAATTTCCTGCCCTTTCCTCATTTTTGCCCCGTGAAAGCGAAAGGACGTATTTCAGTCCTAAAATTGCAGACGCTTTTGCCTTTCTGTGCTTGAGAAGAGGCACGAGGTGAGCGGAAGAGCTTCCGGGAAAGAGGAAATCTTGTGACTTGTTCCAGATCAGTCAGGAGGGAACGGGGAAGAGCAGGACCGAGGTTTAGAGGCGACTCCCGGCCGTCTCCTTACAGAAGTGCAAGGCAAATGCAGTTTATGAACCTGCTCTCTCCGGGATCCCTCTTTCAAGCTTCCACGATGCTTCAGATTCTTGGCCACCCCAAAATGTTCCTCCCGAACGTGGAGGAATCCCAAGTTCTCCTCTGCAATAGGGGTTAGGCATCTCAATTCCCTGTTTCTCAGGGGTCTCGCCGAGCGCCGCAGAAAGAAAGGGGGGTGGCCTACTTCTCCCATCAGAAGAGGCAGGATCTCCGCAGATGTTTCGCCTTGCTCAGTTCCCAAGCCAAAGACCGGCTCATCTGTTGGGTGGTCGCCTTCATGTCTTTGGCCGCGTCCACGGCACGGCGCAGCGAGCGGTTGAGGTCCCGCAGGCCGCCACCAAACATCAGGGTGCCCCGGCGATCTGATGGCTCCGGCCGAGAGGCCCAAGTTTTCAGCTCCGGGGCCTGGAACCTGCGGGCATCGTAAGTGGGAAGGCCAGCTGGGGAAGCGGACGAGGTAGTTGCGAGCAGAGGACAGTAGCTGGTCAAGAGGCAAAAAATACAGATGATAAATTTCATTACAACTAGGGAGCCACAGCTCACCGCCAAGGTCTTTGTTTTGCATACATTTCAAAAGACTCTGAGGTGTTGTTGTTTTTTTGCAGGGGAGGGGGGCAAATAGAATATGAATCAATTAATTAATACTAACCGACCTCCCAAGTTTTCACGGAGGGGGCACCAAAAGCTTTCGTGTACCAAACGTTGGGCCACTTTCTGCCACAGTAGCACCGAACCCAATTTCCCAAAAACGGCTGCAACTCCAGGTTCCTGGAGAAGCCGAGGTCCTATTGGCCCAGCTACGCTTCACGGGGAATAAATGACTTGGCTGTAAGCTCCCTTTGCAGCAGGTGTGTGTGGTTTTGTGGCCCCGATCCTGCAGGATGCCTAACTCCCCCTGAGTCTCTGGGCTGGCGGTGGCCATGCCGGAAGCCGACCTTCAAACCCTTCTGGCTCCCTGGAGGCTTGAGGAGGTTCAAACTCTCTTGCACCTTTCAGGCCGTCGGGTTTTCTGGCGGAGCGTTTGCTCCTTCCCTTGGGATGTTGGGGTCCTGAGGATTCACGGTGGTGAACTGAAGTGACCTGTCTTGTGGCCAGCCAAGGCGTGGACTTCAACACCTTTTCCTGCAAAGTTCTGCCCTCCACCTGATTCAGGGCCTGCTTAAAACCCGGAAGCGAAGGGACACCAGCCTATTTCCTTTTGCCTGGCCTTTTTGCCGAAGCAGCTCCCGTTGGTTTTGATCCATTGTCTTTGGCTTCTAAAAACGAAGTTGTTGCTGCGTGTGGCATTTTTGGAGCAGGTGGACTCCAGGAGGCAGCTTGTAAGTGAGGTCCATAAATATCCACAAAACAGCGACCGGGAGGAAGACAACCCAGAAACAGACTTGGGAAACAAGGATCAAAACCACACCGCTTGTTTCCTCCAAACTGGGCCCCACCGGCTGGAATCCCCGCCGCACCGCTTCAGCATGTGCGCAGTGGGAGCAGCACCGTCACCACTGGCGACAAGTCGCTGATCAAAGGCGAAAACCACAGAGGACGCAACTTGCTGCGGCTGACATGCAGAGCTGCGCCGCAGGATTTCAGCCGGTGAAGCCAGGCTTGGAAGGATACGTCCCTGCTTACGGCCAGCTTCATGCCTTTATTTGCCTCCAGGGAATCCCGTTCAATTCTCTTCTCAGCACATAACCAGGGCCCAACTGTGGTGGGGCAGATCGGAAACCCTCCCTCGGGAGTGGATCTACATTTATTTGGGCCCCTCATGCTTGAACGGTTAAACGGGAGCCCTTTGCAACCCACAACGAGGTCTGGGTAGACACTGGTGACCTTCTTCCATGGGGCTGTTCCTCAACAGATTGATTGGCATATTTTTATTTTTTTTAAACTGGGGGCTTAAGAGTCATTTCTGGGCCCTTCACACTTAAGCCTCATTAGTTTCATCCTCGATCCGCTCCCGCCCTCACGAAACCATCCAAGCGACAGGGAAGGGCGACCACTGAGCGCCTTTGACTTCTACTGTTGGGGCGAAGGCAGAGACCCTCGGCCAGGTCGATGTGCTTCAGTTATTTTAAGTAAAAACCACGACCTCTACAACACTAAGCTGCAAATGCTTCCTCTGTTGTTGAAAATCACCTCGCTTGTGTAAAGCAAATGGTGTAAGTCTTAGGCAAGAATGGCTTTAAGTTACAAAGTCGGCATTGACCTACCAAATCCTCCCACTTGGTGGTGTTCAACAACCAAGGTTTATGTTGTTAACTGGGGGCTCTTGCCACTAAAGGTTACACTTGTGGTTTGGGCCCCCACTGGATCTAGAATCATCATCATCCCCTTAGAACTGCAGAGCTGGAAGGGGCACTAGAGATAATCCAGCTTCCCCCCCCATGGGGCAATCAGACTTTCTGTTCATCATCATCCCCTTAGAACTGCAGAGCTAGAAGGGGCACTAGAGATCATCCAGCTCCCCCCACCCCATGGGGGAAGCGGACTCTCCGTCTCTGCAGCTCGAGAGCCCTCCTAAGCCCCTGAGGAGTTCAAATTCCCGGGGGTGGGGTGGACGGGAGGGTGTCGAACCATTCTTACATGAGGGAGGACAGCGGATAGGCCACCACAGGGGCCGTGGGGAGATAATGTAGGGCCGCAGCCGGTGCTGAGGGAGCTGCCTTCCACGGGCCCGGCGGTTGTGCCGCAAGGGGCTCGCTGAGTTCCCGCGGTGCTCCAGAGGGGTGGGCTGGCGGTGGCTTCTTGCCACGGTCCGAGGCTGGAGGTAGAAGGAGAGAGAGGCAGAGTTAGAAAGGGCCCTGAGCCCAATAATGCCAAGAGGGCATGTTGTCTTGGGTGGAGGCAGGCGTTACTCGATGGGTGGGGGCGTGGGGCATTTGGCTGCTTTCGGACGCCGTCTCCGTTCCCCGTGGCGTGCTCCAGATGCTTTGGACCCCTGTGGAGACCGGCGGTTCCGCCCAAAAGCATGCTCCCCCCCCCGGTGACAAGGCCACGAGAGGAGTGCTGCCATTCTGAGCACTGCAGGTGAGGAGTCCACTGGCGGGGGGGGGGGGGAAGAAGCCGTTGCCCTACACAGTGACCGAACCCTAAAGGGACTGGACCCCTTCCCCCCCCCAGGCCATGAGTGGGGACGGGGAAGGGGGTCCGAGGCTGAGGAGCAGAGACCACCTCCCCACCCTCTGGGGAGAAGACCGCTCGAGGCGCCCAACTCTGCCACCATGTTGTTCCCCTTGATGCAAATATAGACGTAGATAGGTACACATAGAAATACATACGTGTATACATACATACATTCATACATCGTTACAGAGATAGGTGTGTATATACATATATATGTGTATGGATGTATGTACTGTATTTTTTCCATGCATAAAACGAGTTTTTCCTAAAATCATTGGAGGAAAAATTGAGGGTCGTTTTATACACGGAAGGAGGTGGAGGCAAAGGATCAGCCGTGCTGAGCCGCCCCTCGCAACGGCCCACTGACTGCTCCTCCGGCAGGTGTCAAAATTGGGGATCAATTACATGGATAAACAGGGTATATACATATTGATATATATACATATATGCCTATACCAATACATATGTATATATACTGTTGTCTATCTATCTATCTATCTATCTATCTATCTATCTATCTATCTATCTATCTATCTATCTATCTATCTATCTATCTATCTATCTATCTATGGATCTATAATTGTACAAACACACAAACATATACATGTAGATAGAAATTATATATAATAGGCACATATATAAATATATGCGTGCATATATAGACCTACATCTATGTATACACCTACATGTACACATCTATATAGATGTCTCCATTTCTATCTGTACATATAGATATGCACACATATAGAGGGATAGGTATGCAAATATACCTACATGTGTGCATGAAGGTCTGTACATAGTTGTGGGTGTAATCATATATAAACCTATGTACCTATATCTATCTATATACAGAAATATATACACACACAGATGCCTATATGTATAGAAATACACACACATAGTACATAGATACATATCTGTGTATACAAATACATACTGTACACACACATAGTACATAGATACATATCTGTATACAAATACATAGTGTATGTGAGATTACACCTATTCATAGATACGTAAATCTACGCAACTGTAGATCTACATACAAGTGCTATGAGTTAATACAGATACAGATGCATTCATATAAACACACACACACACACACACACACACACGGCTGGATAACAGGACTCTGCTGCAGGCTTAGCTATGGGGCTGGGTGTATTTCTTGAATGCTCTTACCTGGCTGAACGTGGCTGCTCGGCTTCCCTCCCTCCTGGCACAGGAGATACGCTTTTGCTTCTCCCTCCTTGCGCGGGGAGCGCTGGGCGGTCTGGACTGAATCCCGCCAGGGGCCACGACCTGAAAAGGGAGGACGAGAGAGAAAGCGCCCACAAAGGTTTCGCTAGAAACGACAACAGCAAGTGGAGAAAACCGAATCCAGAGCAGGCCCTGAAAATCCCCCTGGACTAGACGGGCAGAACAGCCGAGACCCCGAGTCGTGATCTCAGTCCTCATCAAGGCCAACCCCTTCGTCCGGTTTTGGGAAGCACCCCCCCCCTTCATCTTGTGGCATGAGAGCCGAACCACGGATCAGTACCTTCCTTGCTTGCGGGTCCTTCTCCGAGCCGAGAGCTGATTTCTTGGCAACGGCCGCAGCGGGTGAGGCCTCCGACAGGAGGTGTTTCCGAGGCCTCAGGGGCTGGAAAGGGGTACCGGGCGCCTACGAGATCAAACCAAGGAGGTCAAGAGAGGCTCCTTCCGGGCGGTCGAACATGGCCCTGCTGGCTGGCTTCTGCTCGACATGGAAGAAACGGCCACAAGCAAGACGCACCAATCCATCCCTCAGGGCAGGGAGCAACCTCCAGCCTTCCCAAATAGAGCAGAGAGCACGGTTTCTTTGGAAGAAAGCCATTGACCCAAATGGTGGCCTTTCCAGCTGTGCTCCACAGCTACCTCCGCGGAGGGCTTTCTTTCTAAACTCAGTCCTCCACCTGGTAGGAGAGGGTTAAATAAAGTGTTTTTTTCTTCCATATTGGGGCTGCAACGATCCATTGTAGCCAGCAAAGGTACCCCTCTGGAAGGGCTGGAGCCCAACATCTGGAAGGCCACTTCCCCTGTTGTGAAAGATCTCTTCAAGCCTCACCTACACAGCATTGAAGCCAATGACCTACAGTAGGACCCAGAATTTGTTCCAACCCCCCCCCAATAATAGTAAATACTGTCAATTGCATAGTAAAAATAAAAATGATTAAAAAAAACCCAGAAAGTATTTTCATCCTGTATTACCAGACCTAGCCTCTAGAGGGAGCCAGAGACCATGCTATAGATGAGTGATGGCTAATTTTTTTTGAGCCAGAGTGCCCAAGCTTGGGGGGAGGGAGCCAGCGGACAGCAGCAGAAGCGGTGGCGCGGGCATGGAGGCATCTCCAGACCCCACTACAGATTCGCCTCCAATCATGCCCAACCCCTGCCAGCATCATCTGCTCCAGATCTGGCCTGTCACCTGTCAGGGTGCTAGCACCACGGCTGCAGCCACCTCCTCAGGTTTGGCTGCCAGGGGTAGTGATCCGGTGACTTATGGGTCATGTGCCCATAGAGAGGGCTCTGCATGCCAGCGGTGGCACGCGTGCCGTAGGTTTGCCATCACTGCTATATAGTCTTCAATAACAAGAATACATAGCATGGTCTCTGGCTCCCTCTAATGGCCAGTTCTGGTAAATACATTGTGAAAAAGACATATTTCTAATCTTTTTCTTTTAATCTTTTTTGTACTGACCACAGATAAGTGAAACCATGAATACCAATAACACAGCCACGAGGTCCTACTGTAATAAACTGCAGCTTTTTTGGGGGAGATTATATCTTATCCTTCCCTCCCCAAAAAAAGTCCCAAAGTTCTCTTGCATCCTCTTCGACTTGGGGAAGCCCCCAGTGGTTGCAGAATTGGGGGGGCTGGCTCCCTCTAATGGCCACTTCTGGTAAATACATTGTGAAAAATACATATTTCTAATCTTTTTCTTTTAATAGTTTTCGTACTAACCACAGGTAAGTGAAACCATGAATACCAGTACCACAGACACGAGGTCCTACTGTGATAAACTGCAGCTTTTTGGGGGGAGATTATATCTTATCCTCCCCCCCCAAAAGTCCCAAAGTTCCCTTGCATCCTCTTCGAATTGGGGCAGCCCCCGGTGGCTGCAGAATTGGGGGGAAAGGAATCCTTATTTTCCAAAAACCACAGTTAAACCCCCTCCGTTCTGTAGGGTCTCATTGGTTTCCATGCAACAAAAGGGACGCAAAGCCTTGAGACATTCAGAGTGCGAGACTGGACATTATTAATTGCGAAAAACTATCACGTGACTGGACTTCAGCCCTCATTTCCTAGAACAGATATCTCGAAGCATCACAATATAAGCTGCCAAGAAAGGGCTTTAGAGAGTGGGGAGAATTTTTTTTCTATTTAAATGTGTTTTTAAAATCATTTTAAATTGTTTTAAGACCCTTTAAGCTGGTTTGATTCAGTTGTTTTTGAAGATAACATGTGCAATTGCGTGTGTGTTTGTGTGTGTGTTTGAAGCATTGCCATTACTGCATTTACAGCTGACTTTATTTGGTGGTTTCAACATTTCATGTTTAAAATGTTGTGTAAGGCACCTTGGGTTGCTTTAAAGAGAGGAAGGAGGAGACGAGAGAAAACAGGAAGCGCCTCATCTGCAGTGCAGAAGGCCTGCCTGCACGGACGCTGTGTCGCTCGTTACGTGCGCCTCTGGTGGAACCAAATCAACACACACACACACACTGCTCATGACAACATTTCGCAGCCTCTGGGCTGGCTCTGTGATTTTTCCCACTGTTGGGTCGTCCTTTCTTAGGGCGACCCAGCTTTCCCGACCCACAACGAAGCATTTGTGTGGGGCGGAGGGGGGAACAGAGGACAGCCATTTGTCAAATAAAGTATTCCTGATTAATTCCCAGAAGGCCTTTGTTGGTAAATAAGGGAGATCTTTTCTCCTCCAGACTTTTCTCACCCGTGTAAGGCCCGCGCAGGAGGGCTTGCTTGGAGGATTTTGCCCTAGAAACGCAAATCTCCGGCCGTGTTCCTTTCTGGGATTTTGGTGTTGAGCAGTTCGATTCGGAAGGAGCTGGAAACAAAACCAGACATAAAACACAGAGATTCAGGATGATTTGAGTGTATCCACAAACACTGTCAGAGTGGCCGAGATGGTACAAAAGAACCCTTGCTTGATTGTACACAATGGAGTGGAAGTACGGCATGCATAGTACCGAATGGCTAGTGCCTGTGGTGTCACTGTTAGTTGCCTCCAGGAGCGGAGTGAAAGAAGCCAATAGAGACCTCCAAATGGATAACCCCTCCTAAAAGCAGAGCTGTCACCATCCTTGGTCAAGAACAGTTCTCTGAAAACCAAAACAGACTCATACACGCCGTGAGCTAAAAACCTACGGCTCACCGAGATTTTCCTGGGTCTCACTCGAGGGTACAGACGCCCGCTTCGTCCACCCTTCTGGTTTGGGCATGGGAGACGGCGGCTCCGAGTTGGTCACGCGGCTGCCCGAGGTTTTGCTAGAGGACGAAACAGGAACAGAGCTGACCGTCAGATAAAGGGAAATCATTTCTTTCCAAGCATTCACAGTCCCCGCCACGATCAAGGGAGGGTTTTTTAATTTTTGCAGCAGGAAAAAAAGTTGATCTTCATTCTGTTAGTGGAGCTCTTTATTACAGTAACTTCAGCCCTGTCCTTTTGAACGGTAACTTTGAAATATCCCCATTTCCCACCCCCAAAAGTAACCAGATCAGGCAGGGATGGTCCTGGGTTCTGTGAGTTCTGGTTCGTATCGCTCGGGAGCCCATCCACGGGGCCGACTGTGGCAAGCAGGATCCTTAACTCAAGACTGGGTTCCCGGACATCCTAGCGAGGCTGCAGCGGGCCAGAGTCGCTAACAGCCATGTGTGCCTTCAGGTATGGGGCAGAGGGCCCCTCTTGGCATGGCAATGGCCCACTATGCTCTGGGAAAGCACAACAGAGCTTCACCGCTGGGACCCAGTGCTGTTCAGCTTGTCAGTTGCCCAACCTGGATCCTCCCCCCAGTATATCACTCACCGCCTCTGTTTGGCCCCAACCTGGCGCAACATCTGGTGCCTCAAGGCATGCGGGGAGGATGGATGTTTTGGAGGACTGTGGGGTCGGCAGAGGGTTTCCTCCAGACTCTGACGCAGCTGCAAGACTTCGCTCTGCAAGGCGGCAATCGCCCGGCTAGAATGGCGCACGGGTGAAACACAGCACAGGTTAGCCCCGGTGATTACACACCAGCTCCGTAGGAGGTCAAGGACACCATTTTCTAAGAATCCCAACTCTGCGTCAAAACTAGCTTTGAGAAGAAGAACACCCCCAGTGGTAAGATTCATGCAAACCCAGTAAATGTATGTATCCCCATTTATGCACAATTATTGTTTTAAAATTGCTTTTAAAAAGGATGGTTCATGCAAATAATCACACAGAATAGGCTGTTCTGCCTGATTTGACTCTGCTTTGCAATCCTCAGAACTCAGTAAAACTTTTCAAACTTTGCATGGAAAACTCAACACAGCCCAGTGACCGTGGTTCCAGGCAATTCTGAATGCAGCGGCGAGGACTAGGGACTTGTTTTCTCTTTAAAAAGAAGGCTAAGGTGGCCAGTGCTCCAGAACCTGTGCCTACCATAACCGTCTTCTCCATTTTGTGTTGTTTTGTGTGTACCTTTATAAAAGAGGAATCGCTGTGGTAAACTTGAGAACCCCATCAGGGACTCATTAATTGCCAGCTAGAAGACGCTGAAAGCGACACTGTTTGCCTTCCACAGGCACAACAATGCCACAGGATTTCAGTCAAGAGGTTCAGAGAGGCAGAGCTGTATGGCTCTGTTTCAGGCACAAGAGAAATAAAAGAGGTCTTGTGGCTACTTTACGACAAACTTATTCCATGCAACCTAAAGGTTGTTGAAGGACCATCTACTGACTCTCCTCTAGAATCCCTCCATGTTTGGGGAAGATTGGGTTTCAGGCGTCCAAATTATACACCCACAAAATGGGTCCCCCAAGAAAGTGTCCTTTAGCAAATGGCTTGGGGAAACTTTCCTGGGGAGGCCCTCTTTGTGAGTGTATAACATGGACATCTGGAACCCAATTTTCACCCATCTTGGAGGGCTTGTAGACGAGGGTCAGAAGAAGCCTCACTGCCATTTTTGTGCCTCTAGGTGCCTGGGGGGCGGCGTTTTAGCCAAGCAATTTCAATGAACAACAAAAAAAATAGATTTGTATTGGTTGGGGGCATTGATTCGCCGAAGATGAATCAATGAATTAGCAATGTTTCAAATTGCGCCTCCTTCTGTGGTTTCTGCCTGCGTCCTGCCCCAGGGCGAGAGCCCAGGGCTAAGCGATATGAAGACATCTCACTAAATTACTCAAGAGCCTGCCAGCCAGAAGGCCTTGAGGTGGTTCAGATAACCTTACCACTAATCTCTGATAGATTTCTCGCCTCCAGCCTGAAAACACTTCCTTTCCTACTGATGTTTCTGCTCAGTGAGCTCAAAAATTGAACTTTCTGTCAAGGTTCCTACAATTTGCCAAAAAAGTGAACTGTACTCTGTGAAAGCTGTCACCAAAATAGTCTTAAAAGGTCCCACTGCACGTGCCCACAAAAGCCCACATTAAAATATTGCAGTTAGTCCACAAAGCTTTTGTCTTCTTTATCCTCAGAACTTAGTAAAACTTTTCAAACTTTTCAAAAGTTTCATGGAAAACTCAACACAGCCTTATGAAAGCCCCCGTGACTGCGGTTCCAGGCAATTCTGAACACAGCGGCGAGGACTAGGGACTTGTTTTCTCTTTAAAAAGAAGGCTAAGGTGGCCAGTGCTCCAGAACCTGTGCCTACCATAACCATCTTCTCCATTTTGTGTTGTTTTGTGTGTACCTTTATAAAAGAGGAATCGCTGTGGTAAACTTGAGAACCCCATCAGGGACTCATTAATTGCCAGCTAGAAGACGCTGAAAGCAACACTGTTTGCCTTCCACAGGCACAACAATGCCACAGGATTTCAGTCAAGAGGTTCAGAGAGGCAGAGCTGTATGGCTCTGTTTCAGGCACAAGAGAAATAAAAGAGGTCTTGTGGCTACTTTACGACAAACTTATTCCATGCAACCTAAAGGTTGTTGAAGGACCATCTACTGACTCTCCTCTAGAATCCCTCCATGTTTGGGGAAGATTGGGTTTCAGGCGTCCAAATTATACACCCACAAAATGGGTCCCCCAAGAAAGTGTCCTTTAGCAAATGGCTTGGGGAAACTTTCCTGGGGAGGCCCTCTTTGTGAGTGTATAACATGGACATCTGGAACCCAATTTTCACCCATCTTGGAGGGCTTGTAGACGAGGGTCAGAAGAAGCCTCACTGCCATTTTTGTGCCTCTAGGTGCCTGGGGGGCGGCGTTTTAGCCAAGCAATTTCAATGAACAACAAAAAAAATAGATTTGTATTGGTTGGGGGCATTGATTCGCCGAAGATGAATCAATGAATTAGCAATGTTTCAAATTGCGCCTCCTTCTGTGGTTTCTGCCTGCGTCCTGCCCCAGGGCGAGAGCCCAGGGCTAAGCGATATGAAGACATCTCACTAAATTACTCAAGAGCCTGCCAGCCAGAAGGCCTTGAGGTGGTTCAGATAACCTTACCACTAATCTCTGATAGATTTCTCGCCTCCAGCCTGAAAACACTTCCTTTCCTACTGATGTTTCTGCTCAGTGAGCTCAAAAATTGAACTTTCTGTCAAGGTTCCTACAATTTGCCAAAAAAGTGAACTGTACTCTGTTGAAAGCTTTCACCGAAATAGTCTTCAAAGGTCCCACTGCACGTGCCCACGAAAGCCCACATTAAAATATTGCAGTTAGTCCACAAAGCTTTTGTCTTCTTTATTTTTTATATTGCTTACATTCTGCTTGATAGGCTACCACAGATTGACATAACTACCTCTCCTGAAACTGTACTTTTTTGTTTCTGTTGTGAAACTACAGTGTACGTTTGTTTGTGTGTGCATGCGTGTATGTGTTTGTGTGTGTAACAAATTCCTTTTGAAAAGTCAATTTCCAAGCTCAGGACAGAACCAGACAAAATTCAAAAATATCCTAAACTAGGAACCCGCTTGTTCGTCTCGACTGGAGGAGACCCACAGAACGAAAGGCGTCTCAACAAGCCTTCGCTTTGACATAAGTTTCACCCGGTGAAAATGTTACGAAAAAATGTGAAGAGCATTTACAGTGGTGCCTCGCTTAACGAGCGCACCGTTTAACGACGAATCCGCATAGCGATGAGGTTTTTGTGATCGCAAAAGCGATCGCATAACGATGTTTTCAATGGGTAAACATCGCTTTGCGATTATTGGTAAGCTCTGAAAACTGTACTTTTTTGTTTCTGTTGTGAAACTACAGTGTACGTTTGTTTGTGTGTGCATGCGTGTATGTGTTTGTGTGTGTGAGAGAGAAGTGTAATGAATTCCATAACAAATTCCTTTTGAAAAGTCAGAGCCAGATGGAGGATTTCCGCATAGCGGTGAGTTTTTTCCCCATAGGAACACATTAAACGTGTTTTAATGCGTTCCTATGGTTTTTCCCCCCCCCGCACAGCGACGAATCCGGATAGCAACGATTTTTTCGGAACGGATTATTGTCGCTATGCGGGGCACCACTGTACCTACAAACATATAAAGGGAGACAGGTGTGGAGAAAAATGTTTTTCCCATTCAGAACCAGACAAAATTCAAAAATATCCTAAGCTAGGAACCCGCTTGTTCGTCTCGGCTGGAGGAGACCCACAGAACAAAAGGAGTCTCAATGGGCCTTCGATTTGACGTCAAGTTCCACCCGGCGAAAATGTTTCGAAAAAATGTGAAGAGCATTTACCTACAAACGGATAAAGGGAGACAGGTGCGGAGAAAAATGTTTTTCCCATTGAAAACATGAGAACAAGAGAGGCAACTGTTTGGCATCACTGCCTCATGGGATACGTAGTGAGTAGGAAGGCCCAAGCCAGAGACGGCAGGCTTGGAAATGACACCACGCTGTTCAGAGGTCCAGATTTCATGGTCTGTGGGCAGTGGTTCCCCAGCATGGATCCCCAGGTGTTTCTGGACTACAGCTCCCAAAAACCCTGGCCAGCACAGCTAGTGGTGAAGGCTTCTGGGAACTGTAGTCCAAGAACATCTGGGGAATCCAAGGTTGAGAGCCACTGGGTTTACAGAAAAGGAGAGAATATGATTCCTATTCTTTTCCTTCTCCGTTTCCCCTTTTCCAGCCCACGTTTGGTAAGGTTGATGCTCCCAAAAGCTTGCCGTTTAATGCCATTTTTTTGTGGTCCAGCGAACTATACGTGTGGCTCTTTTTTAAAAATCCTTTCCTTAACCAGACGAGTTAGAGTTATGTGTAGACACACCCAGGACTGTGCTGTTCAGTGGGCAGATCTTCCCGAAACAGGGTCTCTGTAGCTACACCACACCTACGATGGGCAATTCTGTGGCAAACACCAAATCCTGTCATGCATGGATTAATCAGGTCTCCTCCCCCTCAGTCCTCCTCCTCTTAGACCGGCAGAGCTGGAAGGGACCCTCTGGATCATCCAGTCCAGCCCCTCTCATGGAGGCACCGAGGGGGGGTGGGGATTCGAACCGCCAGCCAGCCTCTGGCACCACAGCCAGAGACCTCAACCACGGAGCGACCCTCTCCCACCTCCACCCGCCAGGGTACACTTACTCTCTTTCCAACCGGGAGTCAAGAAAGGCGGAGCAGGGCCTTTGGGCTGGGGAAAAGAAAAGAGCAGCCGAAGGTCCGGGAGGGCGCACCAGGTCCTTGGGAGCAGGGGCGTAATTGCGGAGCCCATCCTGAGCCTCGGCCTCCGAGTCCGTGTGAGCTGGAGAAAAGAGAGGCGGAAACACCGCCACCAGCACAGCGGTGAGAAAACATTTCGTTTTTGTTCACGCACGTCCGCTTTCCCACGGGGCTTGTCGTTCACGACCCGCACGGCAGGGGCAGCCAAGTCAAATGTGGGTGGAGGCAAAGTTAAAAATGGATCGGGTCCACCCTCCTTCTCTGCCTCACCCCTTCTCTCTCCCCCTCGCCCAGCATTACCCTCGCAAATCATATAAGCTCTCCTGGCTTGGAACACAACTCCCATCATCCCCCAGGGCAAGAGGGCCACTCACTGCTCTCTCCACTGGGTTCCACCTCACTGACAATCCCGTCGGTCCATCCAGGAGGGGCCCTGGCATGGAAGGAGCGTCCCTCGGCTCGGCGTTGTGCCGGCAGGCCAGCCGCTGGGAAGGTGAGCCTCGGCAAGACCTCCTCTTCCTCCTCCTCCTCCTCCTCCGGCCGTTCCACCGCATGGGAGACGTCCCTCCGAGGTCCCATCGAGGCAGCCGCTCCGGCGGCAGTCCCCTTCCCCAGCGTGCCATGGGACCTAGAGAGTAGGCAGATCTATGGGATGGCAGAAGAGCTCTCCAACCCTCCACTCAGCTGTCTGGGAGCAGGGGAAGTGTCCTACCTCGAAGGGGCGGTGTGGTGCTTCGGCGTCTGTGCCAGGGGAGACATCCGGCTGGCTTCCGATCCCATGAACCCGCTGTCCGTCTCCGGGGACACCATGCGGAGATCCTGCCGCAGAGAGCAGAGGTTGAGCTGAGCATCACGTGTGGGGTGCGGGAGGAGGGCAGCAGAAGGGCTCTGAGGCACCCCGTTTCATACATACATGTTTGAAGTTGGACTTTCCGGCATCGCCTGATGGTTCTGCACGTGCTCCCGAGGGCACCAGAGGACTCTGTCAAAAAGCACCAGACTTCAGACAACGCAAGTGGTCGGACGGCATTTTGCTCTCCCCTGCCTCGTGTCGCCATCCTGACCTCCTTTCAGGAACTTGGGGGCCAGTTCTAGAGTTATCCACACAACCGCCTTGCAGAGTAGATGAAGCAGACCACCGTCAGGGGGTTGGGGGGTTGGAGGGCTTGGTCCAGCTTCAAAGTCCCCAGGGCCAACGGGCAAGATCCCTGCACCCTATCTGAACTCATGAGGTGTCCTCCAAAAATAAATTAATTTTGCCTTGAATAGGGTCATGCCCGGATAAAATATCAGGAAAAAACCTTCTCACTGTTAAGAGCAGTACGACAATGGAACCTATGACTTTGGGAGGAGGTGGTGAGCGCTACAGCGCTGTGGAGGCATTCAAGGGGAATTTTTTACAACCATCCGTCAGACCTGCTTTGATTCAAGACTCCTGCCTTGAGCAGGGGAGTTGGACTCGATGGCCTTATGGGCCCCTTCCAACTCTCACGATCTTAGGATTCTACATGCTTTAAAGAAACCATTCTGATTTCAGCCTCCAGATGGTGCTATGCTACTAATTCTGACTTTGGGGATGGAATCAAATCCGTTTTATCTTCAGGGCAAATCTCTTTTCCAGGAAAAGCCACGGACCAGGCTGAGATGCCCAGCTTCCGGCTCCGAAATGCTGCCGGACGACAACTCGCATGCTGCCTGTGAACGCTAGCAGCTGTAGTCCAACCACATGGACTTGGGGTGGGGGGTGGGGCAGATCTTGCCCAAGAACCGGGGGTCCCCAGAGGTTTTTGGACTACCAGCTCCCTCCCAGGAATCCTGACCAGCCCAGCCATGATGTCCACCTGCAGGGTCTCGGGTTCCTTGCCTTGGTCTAAAACGGTCCATCCTGGAAAATCTTGGACCGGAACAGCCGCCTGCACAACCCAGACCGAGGGATCTGTGTTCCAAACAGCCAGAGGGACCCTTCTCTCTGGCCTCTACCAAGGCGGCTGCTGACACTTACCTCTGGCAATGCTGTGTTTGTCTTCCGGAAGGGCTTCTGGGCGATGCTTCCGGAGACAGAGCTCCCTGCAATGCTGGCCATGCTGCTCAGAGGCGAGAGATGTTCGAATTGTCTTCTGGGTGGCCTCTCAGGTGCCAACACAGAGTTCCTGCTCGTCTCGGCCGACTCTTGAGAAACGAGCACCTCCGTCTGGGCATCCGGCACGGGGTTGACCCGGTAGAACATCCGCTGGGATTTCCTTGGCAAACGCCGAGGAGCATCTCTCGGTTGGGGCTCCCTGCTGGAAACGATAAGGATTAAGGGGCATCATCTCAGATCATTACGGGTGCCGTAGCTTTGTCTAGTCATATATAGCAACCTTCGAGCAAAACAACTGGCATGATAAATAAATAAATACTGGAAAGTATGCCAACAAAGCTTGGCTGTCTACCTTCAGAGCTGGCCCAAGGGCAGCTCCTGACAAAAGGAGAGGGATTCCCATCCTTGTGCTATGGGGGAATTTCCTGTCTGAACAGGAAGTGAGCGGAAGCTAGGCCTAGCTTGGGCTCAAAGCTTTCCAGTTAAGGCCCCTCTCCCAGGCGAGCCTCATCAAGGTCTCTGGGAGGTGTCTGTCTGTCTGTTGGGCAGAATTCTCAGAATGAAGAATCACAGGATTTGCAGACCAAAAACATTCAAAACAAATCTCGCCCCCTAGCCCCTGCGGGCTGTGAACCGGGAGTCCCAGTTAAGGCCTTTCTCCCAGGTGAGCCTCATCGAGGTCTTTCGGAGGTGTCTGTCTGTCGGGCAAAACTCCCAGAATGAAGAATCACAGGATTTGTAGACCAAAAACATTAAAAAAAAAATCTCACCCCCTAGCCCCTGTGGGGTGTGAACCGGGAGCCCCCCTGGGTTCTAAAGAGGCGATGGACTTGCAAAGGGGTTTTGAACAAACCCCCTGGGGAAACGGTTCAGATACGACACGCTGGATGCACGCGGAAGCCTGCTTCTCTGCCACGTGCGTGAACATCGCAGCTGCATTTTCACACAGACTGCAAAAGCATCTTTGCCTAGAATTGGCCCTGGGTTTTACTACGTAAGCGAGGAGACGTGCAAGCCCCTGAGCTGATCCTGCTACAGAAACAATGGCTCCTTAGGCAAACATGCATTAAAAAGGGGGGAAAGTTGAACTTTTGATTCTCTCTCTCTGTCTCTCTCTCTCCTCTAGCCGCCCTGTAGGTTTTCAGTCTGAGCCTTCACTTCCTTCCGGCTGAATTGTTCTCCTCCTCGCCCCTCCCTTGTTCTGGTTCGTCTCTGGCGCCCGTCTTCTGCCCCCACCGTTCCTCCTTCTGCCTCTGACTTGGCCAGCTCCGTCTCTCCAGCAATGGAAGAAACAGCCACGGGGGTGCGAGGAGGGAGGAGGAGAGACCAAAAAGGGGTTAAAACAAAAAAAGCAACCGAAAAGCTCTTTTGTCCCATTCTGGGACGAGGGGGTAGGAGGAGAGACCAAAAAAGGGGTTAAAGCAAAAAAGCAACCGAAAAGCTCTTTTGTCCCATTCTGGGAACGGAACGAGCAGATGCAAAGGCGTCTTTGTTGAGTCGAAAATGCAAAGACAGCTTTTTTTAAAAAAAAGCAAAGGCCTGCTTCTAATTTTAGTCACATCTCTGCAGGCTCACAGCATCCGATCAAGCCAGAGAAGGCTCCAGCCAAACTGTAAAAAACCAGCCTGGTGGTTTAAGACTAGAATGACCAAATTTTCTAGGAGCGAGAGGGCGTGGGAGTCAAATAAGCCCCTCTTATGCTCAACACAGGATTTTCCACTTTAACGCAAATACAGTGGTGCCTCGCTTTACGATTGCCCCGCATTATGACAAATCTGCTTAATGACGATCTTTTTGCGGTCGCAAATGCGATCGCAAAACAATGGTCTAAATGAGGGAATTTGGCTTTGCGATGATCGGTTCCCTGCTTCAGGAACCGATTCTTTGCAAAACGACTTTGCAAAACGATGATTTTTCAACAGCTGCTTGGCGGTTTCAAAATGGCCGCCGGGTAAATAAAATGGTCCCCCACTGTGTATAGGGATGGATTCCTCGGTATACAGGCAGCGAAAATGGCCGCCGTATGGAGGATCTTCGCTGGACTGTGAGTTTTTACCCCATTGGAACACATTGTACGGGTTTCAATATGTTTCAATTGGGTTTTTTCCACTTTACGATGTTTTCGTTTAACGGCGATTTTCCTGGAATGGATTATCGTTGTTAACCGAGGCACCACTGTATTGCTTTCTTCTCTGGATTGCTTCTTGCATTTGGAATGTAATATACAGGTTTAATAATAATAATAAGGCTATACACTGAATGGCCTTAATGCAACCAGTTCATCTGAAAAACATACACATCTGGGAGTCCTGGTATCTCGGCCGGCTCGCATGCTTCCCAGTTATGCAGATCCCACAGCTCCCACTTCCTTGCTCATGCTGACCAGGGCTCCCAAGGAAGTGCGAAAAGAGCTTCCCGGGCAAGAGGGGATTAGAACCCGGGTCCAACTGAGCCAGGTTCAACAGCAGGCACGCTACCAAGCTGATCCACGTGGATGGGGAGAAACGGACTTCGCCGGTTGACCATTCCCTCTCCCGGATGACTCACCTCACGGGCGAGGGTGACCTTTGTGCCCCCTTGTTTTTCAACATGGTCCGGAGAAAGACATCTTTCCTCCTAGCGTCCTCTGCAGGCGACCCGTCCACTCCCTCCGGCGAGAGCTCCCGTCCCTCCGAGGGAAGTTGCTCAAAGCTTAAGGACCCCGGTAAAGACTTGAAACTGCTGTAGCTGCAGAGAAGAGTTACGGGAAATGTAAGCAAACCGCCCTCTGCTGCTTCGTGGTATGATTTGCCGGAGGTGAGTTTTTCGAGGCCCCCCTCTGCCTGCAATTCCTGAGCTCGCCCAAAATGAAACCCATAAGCTTTACAAAAGACCTGTTCCTCCCTGATACTGCTCGGCTTGGTTTGCGAGACGTCCTTGTTGTGTTCTGGAGCAAGTACAATGCTGCGTGGGCAACTAAGATCCATTAACTTTACAAAAGACCTGTACTTGGTGAAGATTGCTCAGACCGTTTTTGCTGGAACATCAGGCGTTTGCAACGCAGACTCTGCAGGGGTGTACAGTATACGACGCTGCCGAGGCTGCATTCATTGCTGGCGGGCACGCACGGTATCTCCCGATAGTCCTTTAAATCCGTAAAGGAAGAACATGCACTACAGAGACGCCCGTTGACTTACCGGTCCAGGAGGTGACGGAAGTCATTCTCCACTTGGTGCTGCATGTGCCGGAGGGGTTCGGGTAACCCCTCCCCATCCTCCGCAGGCTCATCGCTGATGGAGCTGGCTTCCAGGTCCAACTGGTCTCCGTGGCAGCTGCCTTCTGGAAGGGCAGCCTGGAAAGCAAACAGGGAAGAGTCCTGTGAAAGCTGCGTGGAAAGTTCTACCCGAGGATCCTTTCCTGGATGCTGTCCCGCCCTTGACTCCTTGGCCAGATGTTGGCTGGCATTTACAGAAAGCTCCATCTCAAAATACCCAGAGCGTCACCGGTGGGCACACGAGACCTGCAAGATCCATGTGGTGCTCAATGCTCTTTTTTCACCCCCTCCCCTGACCATCCATCCAGTCCCAGCCTGACATGGACAACCGCCCCCATAAATACGCCCCTGATCTAGACGCCGTTACGCCGTGTCCCTCATGCAGACATTTTCAAACTGACTCAGCGCCAGGCAGGCGAGGGGACGCTGGGCTTCTTAGCGCCTGGAACCAAGGGAAGAAATTGGCCCAAAGCAGGTTCCGGCTAACCCTTAGGGAAGACTTCCTCACGCGAATGCCTACGAGCCATTTCAGCAAGCAGGGTGGATCATCTCGGAAGATGCTGGGCCCTAATTCCCGGGTGCCGTTCAAGAAGCGAGAGCACTTTGAGGGATTGTGGTAACTCCGGAAATCCAAGGGGGTTGGACTAAATGACCTTTAAGGTCCCTTCCAACCAGACAATTCTCTAGTTCCCTTTTTCTTTCAAACAGGACCGTCTATGGGCAGAAGGAAACAAGGCACAAGGACTAGCAGCAAGGTTGACCTCAGGGTAGGGAGTGTGCCTGTCCGGGACGGGGGCCTGAGGAGACGGTGCTGGCGATCCCGTTGGCCCCCCAGGATCTTGTGCTGGAAAACGGGCGGCAGGTGGAGAGGCTGCTTCAAAGCCATCCCAGGCAGCGGGCGGGTTCCTTGCCGCCTGTTCAATCCTCTCCTTTAGTTCCTCCAACTGTGTTCCCTGACGGAAAATCTCTCCTTCCAGGGCCCTGCAAAACATGAGTAGAGGGGAAAGTGAAGAAAAAGAGGGGGGGCTCTCCACCTCATACGTGAAGGCAGCTGGAGGTGCCACACCTCTGTATTTAGTGTCTTTATGCCCTGTCCGTGGCCAGAAAGACTCCAAGAAGCGGCTTCCATACGGATGAAGAAGAGGAAGCAGAACAATCTCTGTCCCTTTTCAAATCCGCACAGACACAGCATAAAAGGAAAGGAGGGCGCGGAGGGTAGAGGAAAATCAAAGCGCCGGTTCCTAATGCTATGAGGCTGAGGCGATGACTAGACTTAACACAATGGTGCTACAACATAAGACAGACGTTCTTTGTCATTGTCTTCCTCCTGTTCCCTTGAGATTCACACTTTTTTTTGCAAGGTTCATCTCTCGCCTACGTGTGGGGAATCTAGCTGTCAGAAGAAAACCATGATTCTTGCATTCGGTTTGCCCCCCTCCCCCCACCGTGTTTTCCCTGCGTTTTGGAAAGAACCACTTGTCAGTCAACCGATCTGCGCGTGACATACGTACCGACTGGGATCAAAATCGCCAAGCGCCCTTTCTGGTTCCTGGTCTTTCTGCCGCCGCCGGCGGTGCTCCTCTCGTGCCCGCAGGTACGCCTGTTCGAGCGCCTCCTGGGCTCCCTTTAATTGGGCCAAGCCCTACAAGGAGACATTGGGATTGGACCGGGGTGGGGGGCAGAACGCTCACGCACGCCCAACCCACCCATCGGGGCCAGCTCAAAGCAGAATGGACTGATTGCGTGTCAGGACGAAGCACCCTGAGTTTACAGATGGGTTGGCGTCCGGAACTCAAATGGCTTCAACCACCCAGCTTTAGCTCTCAGACATTTCCCAGGTTTCCTCCCCTTTTGCAGGATCTTATCCTGTTTCCCACTTTCATGTAGAATAATGCAGAAAAACAAAGATGTTCCAACGGTTCTGGAGTTCCAAACATGGGCTTCACAAATCCAACCAGACGGAATCCCCCCATCTGTGTTGGCAACCTGGACACTTTCTCGCAAGTGCCAAACTGGCCTACGAAACCAAACTGGGAGGCGCACAAAGCCGCCCTGATTTCTGCTCTCAAACCCCAGGGGGCTGGTGGGGAAAACGCCTTCGTCCTGCGGTGAATTTTCCCAGTTATTTTTTCCAACCCGCCTTGGGACGTCCTTCGTAGACAGCCCAGGCAAGGAGAGAGGCAAACGTCTTGAGTGTTCTTTACAATGCTGTTAAAATAGGCTTAAGATCAACCTTTCTCCTTGATCTACTCATTTTAGGCACCCCGTGGAAAGGATCCTCGAAGGATGGGAACTCATGCCTGCCTTTTGGAACGGCTCCGTTCCAGAGAGTCTACCAAACTCGGCTTTCTCCTGAAAACATGGCTCAGCCCATCAAATTCTGTCTGTTGCAAGTTTATTTTTTAATTTATTCATTTAAAATATTTTTTTTTACCCTGCCTTCCGCCTTACAAGATGACCCCCAGGCCACTTACATCATTAAAAGACAATATTGAAAGCTTTAAAAAAGTAAGTCTACAGATACTAAAAAGAATCAGACCGATGCCGCAGTAAAAGACCATAAACAGAAGCAACACCAAAACACATTCAAAGCAGCAGGGTATAAGAATCACTTTGGAAACCCCACTCAGGTAGCCGGTCACTGGGGGAAAGTTTGCCTTGAAGAGAAAGGTCTGCTCCCGAGGGGGAGCGCTCCATAGCCTGGGAGCAGCGACAGAGAAGGCCCTCTCCCGAGTCCCCATTAGATGCGCTTGTGAAGGTGGCAGGACTGAGGGAAACCCCTCTCCTGACGGTCTTAATCCCCGGGCAGGCTCATAGAGGGAGATGCAATATTTTAGGTAGCTTAGACTTTATAGGTTAAAGCCAGCACTTTTATGAGTCCTAACTAATTCTTCAAGAGCTTTGCCTGGTTTAAAGGGAAGTTCTCCCTAGTGAATAATAGTCCTTCTGTTGCCGCTGTTAAGGCCGGGAACGCAGTCAAAACAGGGACACCCACGTCCACTGGAGGAGCATCATTGGGGCACCCCACGACCGCAGGAGCCCAGTCAACCCCCCCCCTTTCTCCAGAAACCATTCAGCCAGGAGTAGGACCTGTCCCGTCGTTGTGCGACACAGATTCCCTCTCGCACGGAGTGGGGAAAGGAGAGCCCACGCCAGCACCTTTCGCCCAGCACTGTTGAGGGCAACTTGGCCACGACAAGCACGACACGTCTAAAGAGACCAGCAAGGGCATTCAAGGGAACCAGAAAGCTAAAGCCTGCGGTACCTTGAGCTGGTCCTGAGGTGCCAGCCTCCCGGCGCGAATTAACTCTTCCAAGGACTCCACCTAAAACGACACACACACACAG